ACCACAAGTCATCTCAGTAGGGCACGTTTCCACACGCATACGCGAGAGCAGCTGACCGAGTATGCACATATCCTCGAAAGCTTTACCAACATATAAAAGAAGATCGGTGTCGTTATTAGGCATGGTGAACACTTCCCACAAAATGGTAGTTGCTCGAATGGATCCGGCCAAGTTCTGCAAATAACGTTTTTAAACGGATTGCAGCGTATTCATACTTGTAACATGGGGCGAAGCGAAGTCTGTCAAAACGAATTTAACGTTTCCCCTTTTATCCAAATTTCCTTTTAAAACTAATACACGCACCGGTCACATAAGCCCATGCCCGAAACGCATAGTTCGCTACGTCCTCATGCAAAACCGATGCGGGAATACAAGAACGCGCGATACATCACATAAAATTCGGAAACAGCGACTAATTGTACTAGGAAGCATTTTATCAGACATGCCGTGTAAAAATCAATGTATACTGCAATATCTGTGAAAGTCGTTTCCAAGGTGATATTAGCACTGTTGTTGCATCATGCAGTTTACGAATTACAGCAATGCATTACTTTAATTATTTTTTTTCCGTTTTCAAGTCCGTTCGGTTGAGACCTGTCTCATTGTTTTAAACCAGCAAACGTCTACCATAAGTACAGGTACTTCAACCAGCAGTAGTAAAGCAGTTTTTATTCCAGATGATGGATCTCCCTCTTGTAAACGAGTCAGTCGTTACAAGAGTTTTTTCCGTATGTCCTGAATTTTGATGACTAGTTTGAAGTAGATGGGATGGACCGCCGGCGTGGTAAGTCCTTTACACCGAGGTGAAATTTCGCCCATATGGACCTCCGTCTGAGCACCTTCTCTCGGAGGACCCCTGGCGCATATCAAGAGCTTCCTGCTGGAGTGGTCCTTTCGGGTATTAATGGAAAACGTGACTTCAGGTGAAAAACAACCGAAAATAAAATAAAACTGGCATCGATGACAGCGTTTGCGCCTGGCTCATACGTACCGATGAGCTGCTGCAACATACATGCGCCGTAGACTTGACCATGCAGTTTCTCAAATTGCCGCTAAGAGAATTGCTAGATTGTTTTTCGGATAAATATGGTGAGCTCAGGAGAAAAAGTTAAATTCCCCATAGAAAAGCGACATTATATGACTTTTTACGACATAAATCGGACAGCAATTTTATGGTTTAAATGCGAAGCATAAAGGCAAAGTGCGCCCTTAGTTTTAGTGCGTTTCACTCGTGGCTGTGAAATACAACTGCTCCAAAACACCGAATAACGGCGTTGAATGGAAAAATCGGTTTCAAGGCATTTTTACTCGGCCTTGAAAGCAGTATTTAGTTTGCTCCGATCGCACTTTGCAATCCACAGGACATCATTTGCTGCCGTTTTTACTTAGCTGGAGTGACCGTCTGACGCTTCCTTGCATGTGAACTAACGAATAACTGTTAGTCAAGTTGCTCATTGACAAATCTGCTGGGAGGAGGAGTTCGTGTAAACGTGAGTAACTGTTTACTGAAGTTTTGCTTACCAGAACTCTTCTCGCAGAACAGCTTGCGCAAAAATATTCGACGACAGCTAAAAAAAACAAGAAAGATCTTGCCATCATCGTTATCTCGACGAAAATTAGGCCTTTATATTCGTCCACCTAAGCATTGGTTTAGGTGCATGCCATCGATTTAGACCAAGATTCTACGAAATATGCATGTCAAAAGGAAAAAGCACACTATACGTAAAATAAAAAACGGGAACAGGCATCTTATTTGCCGCTCGCATCTGGTATCTCTAATAGGCGAATCAGTTGCAAATTGTTTGGGTATGAATTTTACGAGGACCGGTTGCTATTTAGGGTCGTAGCATAAAATGACACGAACTGAACAGAAGATGGCGACAGGGCTACTATCAGATAAGCACTGTCTGTTAAGGAGGAGGTCGCAAAACGCCATAACTGAATAGACGAAATCTGGAAAAAAAGCCATGTCAAGAGAAATAAGACATAGAGATGAATAGGCCAGATATCCACAGCCCTATCCTTTAACCTTTTGCAAAAACACGGTAAATAAATATCACGAACTTCAAGGGAACGAACGGTTAGTCTTTATGCTGGGGTAAGTCAAATTAGCACGATACATTCCGAAGCAATTTTTTTATAACGAGAAAGAAACAATTAAAACCACTTCCCAGCCCGCGGGAGAAATGGGGAAATAAGTCAGCTAAAACGGCAAACAAATAACTCTTCTTATTCGGCTTCTCCAGTTAATTCAACGTCAAAAAGCCTCTTTTTGACTGAGAGGTGCACTTTAAAAACTAGTAGAAATAACAAAAACTTAACTAGACGGCACTCATAAAGCATTTGGCAACCTAAAGTAGATCAGAAATATGCGTGGATATATTCGAGGGTCACATACAGAATCGTCAAACGACCTATTAAATGGTAATGACACTTCATCAACTCCATTAAGCGTTTCGACTGTAGCCCTCCCTACACGCATACCTATACGGACGGTATGAAACACGGACATTTACAGACATAATGAAACCTACGAACAGTAATTTCCTGTGGAAGGGAGATAGTCGAGGGCATGAATTTCATTGTTGTCTGCGGGTGATTCTGTTGCAAAAGGCAATGTTTTCCAAATATTATGCAGCCTATTCTGAGTTTTAAGACGAATCACGCAGTTATAAGCCACAATATCGCTTGAGAATGAGTTCCACTTTCGGATTACCCGCTGACTAAATAGAAGCGCATTTCTCGCAAGAACGTACGTTTAGCTTTGATGTTGCCAAGGTGGACATGCAGATAACTTGTGTCAGCAAGCTCGGTGAAAGCCTCAGGCTCGAAAGGCAAGCAAACCCTCAGCAAAGGCCGAATGTTCACGGCAGGCTGAATCTTAGCTGCCTGCAATATAACAGAAACTTGTCAAACTGAGTTGACATTTCAGAATCAGATTCCTAAAACCATCTGCGCCACTTTTTGTACTTCACTCAGTTTATTTGATAGAGTCAATATACTTATTAAAACTGCATCTTCTAGCTGTCTGTTCGTGGCCTAAGTGATGCCAAGGAATGCGCTTAGGATTCACACAGAGGCTTTAGCATGAAAGACAGTAGAGGTTTTGTCATTCGAGTGCATGATGCTACTCGCATTCTGGATCGACTTCGACACTGTCGCGGTGACATCGAGACTGCAAAGGATTTTTTAAATTTGCTATGACCACGCCGGCAAATATCCTCGACCAGTCTCCAAACCAAGAATTACGCAGGTCATGTCTTAGAGCCTAGTGGTCAACCGATTGATCAAACAGTGAGTTTATAATGGTATTTTTGCATCTGCAATAAACAGGACGGTTTTGCAACCAATTGTCTTGGTGCAAGTGATGACTTAAATGCGAAGGGGCAGGAAGCCAAACACTGAAACAACTGCGGCACAGCGTTCTGATGGTACTCATTCAGATGTCACACTAAAACATTTCTTTTGGACCAGTTTTTTTTAACTTAAAAGTAGGCTTTCACAAAACTCTTAAGCTTCCAAAATTGTTATGATCCGGTCTGGTACTGGAAACCACGTAGAGCGTATGCACACTCGACTCCTGACCCGATACCACAGTGACAGAGAAGGAGAGCATGACCAGCCACGAAGAAGTGTATTAAGAACTGCAAGTCAAGATAAACTCGAAGTGACGCGTACTTACAAAACCCTACAGTGGTTCGCCTACGTTCGGCCCAATGCACTTCGGGAAGGACATTCTAGACGAGCTGGTCGATAATTCGAATACACAGATCGATCAGGCTCGAGGAAAGCAGCCAATGGAGAGGCGGCACAATTAAACTGATAGCGCTATAGGGGAAACGCACATGGCGTCCAGTGACTGGCTAACTTATGTTTTTGGGAGTGTAGGCAATCCCAACAAAAAAAAGACTTGAGTAATAGCTTTATCCCGGAACGCAATGCGTGTTTATCATCCGATTCCTTCCCAAAATCTAATATCTGTTCTACATAAACATCCACACAGACGGCACTCCCCCAGAGTTCATGCATATGGCTAACATTGATACCCTTGAAAAGTCGTCAAAATCGTACGCGCTATCTCCTCCTGTGCTTCATGGGAGCGTATAAACCACTCCAGGGGAACACGAAACACTTCAAACACCACCTGCAATGCCTGAAACTACAATTTCCACATCAGTATCGCAAAGGGTCAGGGGAGCAAGACGGTAGAAAGCTAGGTAGGGAGTCATCTGATGACGGGGCGCGCCATAGCAGCAACAGATTACTGTCAAATTCAGCAAAGTAGAAAAATTCACTCAATATGTAAAATGACATTCCCTAAAAGGAGAAGTAGTCTAACATGCCCCCTGATCCAAATCACTTCGGTAAAATCCAAGATCTTTACGCAGGCCTGGACAGACTGAAAAGGCCCACGTTAATGTGTTCTTCAGATGATTAAGCCCATCGCAGAAGAACCGCCCTCAGAGACGTAATGCTCGCAGTCCAAGTTTCTGGGCTAAGGGATAACACGTCCGGGGAGCTCTAGGGAAAGAACGCGGCGAGCAGCGGAGGCGCAATAATAACGAAGCCACTACGCCTATGTTTGCGTGTGGATCGCCCTACCGAAAATATTCGGCGAAAAATACGACCCGAATCATCTGAAAAGAGAACTACCAACTTCAGCGGTAAATCGATAAAGGTGTATGTGGAAAAGAGCGCTCGATACAAATGTCAGCAAAAATGCAAAGTAGCATGTTGAAAAGGGCAGATGCAAAGTAGCGCTAAAAGCAGCCCAAAAGTAAGATGTGATCGGCGCTACACGGTAGCAAATAAGAATGGCGCTGCGACGATGGAGAGCATTAAACATGACGGTCGGTAGTATCACAGGCAATGAGTGGAAATCGCAGTAAGAGGGCAGTAAATGAGGGCGGTCAAGTAGGAAAAGAATATTAAAAGGCAAAAAGAAAGGCATTAAAATGTCATATGGTTGGCGAGGGGGAGATGGCACGATGAGGAGAGTATCAGGGATCGTTAAGGAAAATCTGCGTGATGGAGCGCGAAGAGTCTGAATCCTCGTGTTGAAACTGTGGACTTAGGCGGCTTCTGACAAACACAAGATCATCTGCAAGGGAAGCATAAAAATCAACTGAAAGTAAAATATAGGCAGATTTAGGGAGGAAATAGAGAATAGTCAAAGGGGAGAAAGGTCATCCCTTGCTGGACAGCCTCAAGCAGTGAAATATTGCTCAAAAGCCAAAAAGTGGTCGGTTTGGAAAAGTAAAAACTAACTGGCCTGCGTGATTCAAAGGCAGAGATTTCTGACGGGGAGATGAATGAAGCATATTAGGGAGGAGGCCAGGGGCCAAAACGCAGTGTAACACTAAAAAAATAGCGGTTCTGACATTTAGTAAATAGACGTAGTGGGTTGAATCCCGCAAGCGGAGCCCAAACTCAGTCGGCGGCAGGGTTACTCGAAGTCCAATGACGTAGGCAGAGGGTGAATTGAGTGAATCAACTTAGGGATACGGACTTGCGTAGAATCTACCTCACACCCTGTTTCCAAAACCCGGTGTGTTCTGATGGCAAGATAATGCCAAGAAGACAGAGTATAGGTGTGAGCGTAGCGGCCGACAGAGCTAAACGGCTGCCTATACATGAAGCACACGACTTGGCTCCAGGCTAGCAGTAATCCAAGCTATGAGTTTTAGTTCTCTGTGATCGGTCCGAGCACGCTCAACTTATTATAAAGAGTAGTAAATTGGTTTGCTTTGAGCAAGAATACCCACGGATCAACTTCACCTGTCCTCTTTCTACCGCCCCGAACTAATGGTCACTTAACGGACTGGTGACGGAACTGGAGGCAGTGACTTCCGTTACGTAGAGCCGTTGCCTACTGCGTGCTATGCCCGCGAAAATAAACAAGTGAGTAGTTCTGCCGTCATCTCTGACTCTTAAAAGCATCCCTCTAGGGCTAGTGCGCGTATAGTAGATGGCCACAGCGTGCGCGCATAGGACCGAAAAGGTCCATGTATTGACGGCATGTCTAGAAACCAAGTGGGTGAGAGAGATGGATGGAATTTGCTGGTGTCATATGCGCGTCCAACCGAATATGTCCACGTCGATGCTGAACAAGAGGGTTGTGGCCGCGTCTATACACCTTACTCTTCCATTCGTGTTGCGATAGATTCGCAGGTGGCCGACATACTAGATGCATAACTGTGGTGCGCGATCGCTGGTGGGCAAGTCGACGCCGGGGGGGGGACGTCTGAACCCTTGTGTTGATGGGTGTCCAGACGACGTTTCCGTTGGGTCAAACACAAATATGTCCGAGGAGAGCAAACGGGGACTGCAACATGGTGTTACAGAGAGGATGGGCGGGAAGGATGTTCTCATTCGTGATGCTAGTGGTAGCGGCAGTTGGTTTTGTAGGGGGTGAGTCGATGGGATTGCCATTGCAACGAATTCAAGGGTGCCCAGCAAGGACTATCAGGGCTTTAAACGTGCGTCGACAGCAAGCATATATTGACAGGAGTTAGACAGTATGAAGTGCTGGTCGATGGCATTCCAGTGTTTCGCACTGGACTCCAGTTATGGGCGGCTGTTTGCAGACCTGCTGGTCCTATCCGCTCGTTCTCCAAGTCTCTTGGCTAATGTGAAGGCACTCGAGGGAGGTTATCAGTGTGTCCTTGTAGTGTCGTTCTCATTAAATCCTGTTCGTGATTGCGCGTAGCGACGTCTCCATGGCAGAATCATTCCAGCGTGCATTAATCAATCATTCCCTCGATGTGATTGCTCCAACGTCGATGGTCCTGTCTCAGCATGACGCAGATGCACAGAATGCCAGCCGGCCTAAGTACATGGATATGCGAGATCCGTTTCCACCACTCCATATTTAATGTCCGAGGGAGTGGTCGGGCTTTCTTGGTCGGCTTTGGCAAACTGCTCTGGATTCTGCGTCGCAGAGGAGTATTGTCAGGAAAAAAGCCCTGTACGTATGGAATTCCGTTAAGACGAAGAAAACAGGATGATCCCAGAGTGCGTGCCAGACTAGGCAACCATGATACGCACGAATGGACACGATCTAGCCTCGGAGAATCATTCAAATCAGCATTGACGACTCACTGCTCAAGGGGCCAAACATAAATGAAAGACAATAGCTGACCGGATACGCACAGAATGACGAAGGGATGAAACCACAGGGCGGTAGGACTTAGTCCTTTGACTTCAGACAAATAATAATGATCAAAAATACAGGTCGAGGGTTATTGGAACGATTTCTCTTCCCCCTTTCTTAGTCACCCTGCGTGAAGCTGGAGCTAGGCACTGCAGAAGCGCGTGGAAGCTACAGTTTAGAGGTTCGGGTTTGACCACAATTATATACTACTTATCTATGCGAGGCAGGTAGGCGCATAAATTTCCAAATTCTCCAACACCTATGAGAAAAATAAGACAAATGAGTCACGGATCGGCATTCATTACATCAATGGCCTGAAAAAAAGATGGATCAAAACGGTCAGTCGGTCGGAGAGTTTACGAGGACGCGGCGGGAGGGTAAATAGAAGCGTTGACCGTTGGACGCAGCAAAATGTCCACACAACAAGCAGCACACATTCACGTTACTCTTTGATTGGCCAAAAACCAGCCAATCAGTGCACATGGCCAATGGCCGAAAAGTAAAAGCACAGCATTTGTGGACTTGCAATTCGTTTATCCAAGCTGTTATATGAAATGCGGTCCTGCGTGGAAAAAAATGATCTAGCCAGTAAATTTCACAGAACCAACGCAACGTTAGCGTCAGTAAAGAAGGGGGCGCATGATGCTGCGACCAAAGACTCAAAAAAAGTTAAAAGACAAGAAATGGAGAGAAACAATAAAGGAAGGGATGGGGGGAGTAGAAGGGACGTCAGGAAGTGAAAGCAAGAGGGAGCCCCACCGATTTAGCGCAAAGGGTTTTAAAAGTTAGGGAGAGACGGAGAGTGGAAAAAAGATCTACAATCTTACCAAGGTCTTCCATAAGGAGGTCTAAAAAGGGCGGAGAAAAGTGTCCAAACCAATCGATACAGCACTCGAACAAAAAGCATTTAAGAGGGTGCAAGACTGCCGGAAAGGAGTAGGATAAAGCCGTCGAGAGGGAACAAAACGCATTCAAAACGGCTCGAGGGCAGGCAGGCACAAATGTAAGAAGTAGATATATTCTAGGGCAATGCAATTTGGTATCCTAGATGACAACTGCACAAGAAATGGATGCTGATGGTAAAAAACAAAATAGAACAATAAAAACAAACAAGAATGACCAGAGATGAAATAAATGGGTGACTAAAATGAACAGTTCCAGTAGATGGGCGAATCCAGCTTCCGGTATGGACATTCGGAAAGTTGAACTGACAGAGTTGCAAACTGCAAGATGAACGGAGTCAGGCTCAAACTCCAGATTCAACCGGCCTGGGACCGAGATAGGATTTAGTGAGTATGGCAGGTGTGCCAGAAATAGCCAATTACGTATCCAGAATGGATGTCACTAATCCCCTTTTGTGTGAAATCCCCGCGCAGACGGGTTGTTCAGCTCTGTGAGCCACTGGCGCCAATCCCGCATCAGATGACTGACCGGCTTAGACAGTAGACTGATGCCTGGGAGGGAAGGAGGAGGAGTGAAGTCGACTCTAGGAACAACAGAAGCGAAGAGACGAGTCCTAAGGCCTAACCGCACGGACACCACATTTTGGCGAGTGCTTCCGTATGTGAAGAACGTTTCGGAAGCTGTTGGCCGCCTTCTCGCACCACTTGGGGTTGGAGTTGCGCACAGACCGGAGGCAACCATCAGGCGTCAGTTAATAAAACCGAAAGATCCCCTACCACGGCAAGAAATCTCTGGGGTCGTTTATCGGGTCTGGTGCAGTTGAGGACAAAGCAACTACGTCGGGGAAACCAGAGTCGAACGCGAATAGCACGAACACGCTACAGCGGCGCGGAGAAATGACGCCAGCTCGCGAGTTGCAGCTCATTCGACAAGATCCGGCCAAACACTCAAATTTGACGAGGCCGAAATCCTCGCAAGAGATGACAACCGTTTGAGCCGGGAATTGCTTGAGTCATGGGTTACTGCGCCCCAGTCCATTAACAAGTGCAATGATCTGCCCATTCCATACTGGGTGCTGAGATTTCGCCTAGGCGGAGTAATTGACCAATTGGGGAGCGCACAGGTGAACACTTCTGCCAACACTCAAGTCAGCGCGTCAGATGGTCGAGCAATCATCACACCAACATCCAACGCATGCGATGAAATTGCAGCAATTAACGACGCGAATTTCGACCATCAAACAGCTATCACACCACGGGCAACGATCCTTGATGAAGGGGGGAGCCGTGAATATTCATAGGTATGCGGTAGCATGGCGGCAGCATCCCATAAATACTGAAGCCCCTTATGCATGAACCACCCACATCTGCCTTTGTCTCTGATGATGGTTTCGAGCAGGAATCCGAAACGTCAGGCTAATAAAGCTCTTGTCGCGGCGATCGTGTCTTCTTCTTCTTCTTCTTCTTCAAGGAACAACGTCCACAAGACACTCAGAACATACTCCTTATTATAAATAATCTGACGCGCATTTAAACCACCACGGCGCGCTTAAGGCCGTGACTTGGGAGGTTGCCCACTGACGGGCCAACTTGGTCCGTCCAGGACGGAGAGTCGTGATACAATGGCTCCCTCTCAATGTGGCCTCTGTGGCATTCCTACTCAGTTGTGATCCAGGCACTCCTTTTTTCTGTGAAGGCCTGGCTCTTTGTGCGCGGATCGGGCGTGTGTGTGGCACACGCAGACGATCCAACCCCTTCGGGCCTCTGGACTCTGTCTTGACACTGGGCTAGGTGGGTGGAGAAGGGGGTGTGCGAGGGGGGGGGATGCTAGGCAAGTCTACTGTCATTGTAAACTAATCCATGCGCAAGTCACTGCCACATCACTAATCGCCCCGAGGCTACTGACGTGTCTTAGTTGAAAGACAGTCCAAGAAGTAAAACGCATGCATTTCGCCTTGCAGTAGGGCCTAAACGGCGAAAATCCGCCAATAGGGGAGCAACACTGAGGGACAATGAATCAACAAAGTAGGACAAACGCCTAATCTAAAAATTTTCTGAAATCGAGATAAAAGGAAGGCTGCTGATATGGATAACAAATTTTCTTACAGGGAGATCTCAAACCGTGTGCGTTGAGGCCTCAAGGTCAACTCCTACCCCCGTTCAAAGTGATGTACACCAGGGCTCCGTCTTAGGGCCGTTGCTATTCCTGGCTTACATTAACGACTGCGTCGACGACCTGGGATGCAGCGCCATCATGTTTGCTGACGATGTTAAGTTGTGGAGAACCATCAGATCTGATGCAGACAGGTACTTGCTTCAAGACGTTCTCAACCGCCTGAACAGTTTGCTAACTCATTGGCTCCTTAATTTTAATGTGGACAAATATGTGGTTCTGAGACTCCGCAACAAAAAGACCAGTAAGGAGCACGATTCCTTCCAATACGTCCTTGGTGGTCAGCCCCTTTCAAATGTTGTGGAACAGAAAGACCTCAGCGTCATAATGACCTCCTCACCATCACAATGTCAAAGGGCAGCCAAAGGTGCGATAAGGATGTTATTTGCGCTGAGGCGAGGATTTGTGCAGATCGATAAAAAGCTGTTCGGAAAAACCTATGGGGCACTCGTCCGGTCTCACTTAGAGTATGCAGTCCAGACCTGGCGACCGTGGATGAAGAAAGACTATCAACGACTGGAAAGAGTGCATGCATTTCGCCTTGCAGTAGAGCCTGAACGGCGAAAATCCGCCAATAGGGGATCAACACCGAGAGACAAGGAATCAACAAGGTAGGAGAAGATCTAGGGGGTCCATGACAGGGTAATAGAGTGTAGCATGGTGGTCACGAAGGTCAAGAAGGCATGCGTTGGCACGAAAACCTCGCAGAAAAAGTAGTAAACATGCGGCAGTGATTTGGAGGTGCGAATCCAGTCGAGCTAACGTACCCTCAGTAATATGTTGCGCAGTGGAGCTTGAGGTGCCGGCTGCCATGGGTTCAGTCGGATCTGACATGGGGTCTTCTGGTTTGAAGTCGATGGCTGCGGATGAGGGAGAGGAAGAGTTTACGGATACGAAAGGCAACAAAACGACAGAAGGACGTATTTCAAGACACTTTCAATAAAACGCATAAGCAGTAGGTGACGGTTCAATAAAAGTTTACGTACGTCTGCATTTCATGCGTTTGCGATCACGGGCAACTCGCATCCTTCGAGCTAAAAAAAAAATACGGGAATCAAATAAAGCCACAAGGAATGTTGGTAAATTTGCGCGGATTAACAGACGCGCCCAGAAGAGGGGAAACACTGAGAAGGAATAACGTGTCAGGCCTCCCTAAAACAAACAACGTAACATAACCGGAGCCGAACGTAGCGTAAAAAAACTTAATTAAAAAAAGACGGGCATAAAACAACGTTATTCACCCAGGCCTAAGAAACGGCAAGTAGAAAAGCAGGAGGAACAAAATGTGCCGTGCAAACGCAGCTACTGAGTATTATTTAAGTAGAAAGATTAGCGACATTAAAACACTGACTATTGAGATTCCGAGGCCAGTGGCGGAAGAGTAGCACACAAGACGAATGCAAATTACTCCTTCAGCTGTCAACTAACAAGTTACAAATAAGGCGGTAGAAGTTCGGAAAATGCATAGTTTAAACAAACGCACTTTTAACAACCCAGACAACCACCCTAGCTAACATTCTGAAACGGATGCAAGCTTCAGAATGGGCGAGCCCACCTCTAATAGATGTTTGAAGTAGCCGACACTGCGGCCAACCACTGATCAAATACTCCTTTGCCTTCCATTTAAGTGGCTGCGCGCGATTGAAAGAAAATCAAATGGTCACAGAAACAGTTGGCCGGTGCGCGGACCAGCAAGGACTCACGTTTATCGGTTGATTTTTCCTCTGAAGGGCCGGTTTGAGCACCGGTCTCCGCCTCAACTGAATAGCTTGGGGAGGATAAAGCGGGCAATGGAGCAGCTTCCTGTACTTGAGGTTCTGGAATGCGGATATGATAAATTATTGGAGAAAACGAAAAAAACCACTGTCCCTAAGCTGGACAAAGGTCGATAGTGGTAAGCAAAACTCACCGGGGGTGGCGCTACAAACACCATCTTCAGGGTCGGGCACGCCTGGCGGAGGAAGGACCACAGTAGAAGACCGCTTGGAGCCTAAGATTTAAACGGAAGAGAAAAAATGAGTTGAACCCAACTATTGCCCTTTCCCTCAAACAAAATCACCGTCCTTGGGGTTGGGTCGACCCACCCCACGCTCGCACGCAGGGATTCCGATGCCAGGAGTAATACATAGTCTAATTCGCATTCGCCTTATGATTAAAAACCGTCCACTCTGCTCGTAAGTACAGTAGGTGGGCTAACTCATGAAATGCCAGCCAAAATTTTGAAATACATTACCGTTTCGAAACGATTAATTAAGTAGGATTGTGAAACTTATCATCATGCAGCATAATTCTATAATAATTCAGTTACCTCAGGGTGTAGATTTTCGAATGAACTCCTTTTCGACTACATGCAAGAACTACACTCTGTAAAAAATGACCACTTGTGTAGTATGCAATTTTTTAGTTGATTTTCGATACCGTTAAAAATGCAATTATATTTCATGGAAAACATGCGTAAAAATATGCATTCTTTTGCTCATTCGGTAGAAAATGGCGTCTTTTTCCAATTTTATACGCAAAGGAAGGGTATAATTCGGTTTTTAAAAAGTTTCTGTGCGATTTTTTAATACCGTGGAATGGCCATTCATAAATCGTCATGTCTCTACATTTACTAATGTGGCTTGTAAAGTTAACAATATGGCTCAAATCCACTGCTAAATATTATGAACCCCACATGGCGTTCTCTTAATACCGTAGAGAAATGTACGGTTTTCCATACGCAGAAAATATACGACTTGTAGTTTGGAAACCCTGAATGCAAGTGTAACGGCAGGTCGAGTTCAAAGTTATTCGGTAATTGGAAGAGTTTTTGAAAACCGAATCATACCCTTCCTTCGAGTATAAAATTGGAAGAAGACGTAATGTTCTACCGACTGAGCAAAAGATTGAATATTTTGCGCATGTTTTCCATGAAATGTAATTGAGTGTTTACGGGGTATCGAAAATCGATGAGAAAAATGTATGCCCTTTAAGTAGTCATTTTTTACAGAGCATAGTTCTTGCATGCAGTCGGAAAGATGTTCATTCGAAAGCTGGCACCCTGAGGTAACTGGATGATTATAGAATTATGCTGCAAAATGATTAGTTTTACAACCTTACTTAATTAATCTATTTGAAACGGAAACGAATTTCGAAATTTCGGCCGACATTTCATGAGCTAACCCACCTACTGTAGTCTTCTGCCACGAAGAAGTCAGACGACGGTGCATAGGGTGACACATGTCCTATGCAAGTCACGAAAAAGTAGTTTACGTGATTGAAAACAGACAAGTGTGTGTCCAGGCCCACAGGAGGGGTTGAGCTGTAATGCGCGCGCGACAAAAACGGAAGTCCGACAAGGCCACGGCACGCGCTGAGCTCGCATGAGTACGGGACTAGTGCGTGTAGCGGGATGCCTCAAATATATGCCCTCACAACGCGCCAGATGCTACGCTTAATTTCCTTACCCGTTGATTGATAGGCTCGAACAGTCAAATGGTGGGTGGGAAAGGGAAGAGGGAGAGAGGCCGAAAATCGGGGACCCATTCTAATCAATGCATTCCTCACTATAATAAATCTGACGCGCTTGAACCTACCACGACGCACTACGAGTTGTGGCCTGGAAGGCTGAAAACTGACGGTATATCTCGGTCCTCCTAAAGACTGTGATCTGTATGGCACTCCCACCTACGTGATATCCAAGCCATCTGCAGAATTGTCAGGTAAACCCGGAAAATGGGTCAAGTCGCGTGTGTGGCGCGCGTAGACGAGTCATTTAACCAGAGGGAATTTTCGGTCGTTCTGGCTTTATCTCGCTATCAGAGCAAGGACCGCGGTAGAAATCGTGCGAGCCACCGGTGCTGAAGTGGACGTTGCCACTTACGACGGTCGAAAAGTCACACCAACATATTGCTGGTCGCTTTGCGACTGCCTGCGAAGGCTCTAAATTAAGTCCTAAAGCACAACTAGACGAGCATGCGCCGTAAACCAATCGTGGTACAAAGATAAGCGACAGTAAAATGCTATTTTCGAGCGAATTGGGCACTGGCAGTTAGAGAAACTCAAGTCGCTGACCAGGACGATTGTTATTCCAACCCGGGCTAGTTGATAATAAAGTTTCGAATAAAACGCCCTGCCACAGGCCGAGGAGCTCAAATGGCAAGGCGTTCAGTGGCTACGACATGACGGCGGCAAGAGAACCAGCGACGGACACTCAAAGTCGCAGTTGTCTGTTTCGGTTTTCCGTTTGTTTCACGGTAGACTACACGAGACGACTGGAGTTTGAGGTTCCATGTCAAAACCTAGCGAGAATATTACTTTTCAGAAGAAAAGGTGGCGAGCGAACGTTGCTTTCGATAACTTCTCGTCAGGCCAGTACAGTCATATATGAGTGCGAAAAATCGATAAGAGTTAGTTTATAAAATATAGGCTAGGCAAGAGCGGAAAGGCGCAGGAAGTTGTATGTGGTTAGTCAGCCTTTGACCACGGTAGGCGCGGAGCCTGGACGAGGTTCTTCTGGACGCATAGGGTCGGTTTTCGTAACCTGGTGGCGGTCGCTTCTGCTGTTGCTAACAAGCGCTGGCCCAGTAGTTTAGGGTAACTCGAAAGGACCTTGTAAATCACACGAAATGCTTCAGCGGGGTCCATACGATGCCCTGAATCCACTGTCTGCGCAAGGATGGCGCTGTCTATTCTCCTAGTTTCACCTTTTGCCAGCCACACAGGAAGGTGCTCTCGTATTCTTTTGGAAAGGCGCCGACTCGTACGACCAATATAACCTGCTCCACAGGAGCAAATGAATGAGTAGATGCACATTGAGGCGGTCTGAGGTGGCAGCCTATCTTTGCCTTCTCCGCGTAAAATAGGGTAAGTAGAGAAGTATATGCGAACCCTTGCTGCTGGGCGCGTTCCCGAGGCAGTTTGGCCAAGGTGTCTTCTTAGGAGTTCACTTGCAGCATCTCCTTGGAAAGGGACTTTGAGGAACAACGCTTTCTTTTCGGCGGTCCGTGTGGCGGGTTTTGCGGGTCGTTCGTCAAGGTTTTTTGCAATGAATCTGCCAGGATGTCCGTTTTCGCGAAGCAAGTCCTGGATTTTTCTAAGTTTCTCCTCGATACTATCTGTTTAACAAATTTTTCTAGCCCTTTGAGCCAAACACCTGTCTAGATTTCGTTTTTGTTGGAGAGCTACGAAACTAGCGAAGTTCGTGCATTATCCAGACCAGATTTTCTTCCGGTAGACGCCCCTTCGGAGGCTACCGTCCGATCTCCTGTTTAGAAGGACATCTAAGAAAGGAAGCGAACCGGCCGATTCCATCTTCAACGTGAATTTGATCGATGGATGTGCTCGGTTTACAGAACTTAGGAGGACAGCAACGTCGGTTTCTGTGATTGCAATAGCAAAGATATCATCAACGTGGCGACCGTAATGTTTAAGTTTTTTGATCTGATCGCTTAGTTTAAATCTCTCCAGCTTGCCCATGAAGACGTCGGACAAGCAACGAGGCCTTCTTGCGATCGCAAACTCAGCCAAGCGGCCTGCATAGGTTATGAGCGCCGTACAAACCGATTAGCCCTGTGAACTAGTGGACGCGAAACACGCGCTGCGGTAGCACCGACGAAACCAGGCGCGGATTGTGCGGAAATGTGCCTTTGGCGGGAACAAGACCAGCACACCTGAAGACAAACGCTTCCGATAATCGGGCCAGCATCGCAAAAGCGCACTACTACACGGAATTCATCGCACCGGAGGGGTAGGCATATCATAATATGCATATTTTTATGGTCACATTTAGGCCAATAGTATCAAAAGGCAAATTTACAGGAGTGAGAAGCAAAAACAAGCATTACAAACCCTTTCCATCCTCGGATGCATCAGCGCCAACTGCGCTGCCAGCGCGACGGGGAGTAGTGGCGTAGATGTTGGTTGTGGGAGGAAGTTGCTGCCCCGTATGCTCGCCTAAGTATTTAAAAAAGGGGCAGTGATTGAAACAATAGGTGAGCAGACATTCTTCGCCCCCAAAACGAACCGTGAGGCATATGCGGTGACTGACGTTACTGGGAACGCGCTAGGTGAAGGAGGAGGAGGAGGGGAGGGTGCGGTAGGTGCTGCGCAAGTCTACCATCAGTATGAACTAGTCCGCACGCCAGTCACCGCCCCCGCTCTCGTCCTGCTGTGGAACACACGGTGGACATCATCGGTCAGAGCAGCCGAAGTGTCCAGCAGACATTATACTGCAGCAATGCATTTGTGGCCCTTACTATGCTTATCAGTAAAACCTTATACGATCCACCTTCAAAGCACCGCACAGCTTCGAACGGACGCGCACCCATTGGAAGCTGACGCTCCAGAAGAAATCAGCTGGAGGCAGCAGCCGTTTCGGGTTAATCAGGCTCCCGTCAGGTGGTGAATACGAGTGATCTGACATGACAGTTCGACAGTCGCATGCGACGGCATTCAGTGTCGCGTATTCCATGGAGTGGGCGTAGGACCGAGTAATTTCGCGTGAAGTAGTTTATAGTGAGGTAGACATGCGCAGAATCTAATGCACACTCTCTCTCTCTCCTTCCTCGTCCACCTCGTCTCTGATGTCAAGGTATAATCAAGAAAAGCGGAAGTGGGCACGAAGGCAGTTGTTGGGAAGGTCGGACAGCCCGTCTACGCGTGCCACACATGTGCCAGGCTTTCTGCAAGGGCGGTTAGGGTCGGGAGTGTCGTCACGGACACATTCAGAAGGAAACGTTGCAGCCTGAGAAAGACTGAGTTATCCCCTCAGTTAAAAACCTTTGCTGTTCACAACACTTGGCGCGTGGTGGGTAGAATTAAGCGCGGCAGATTTATTATAGGAAGGAATGCCCTAATACTTCGCGAGAATGGATTCCTCCCCGATGTTGGCTTCACTTTCTTTTTCCTCTCCCATGCGCAAGCCGACTGTTCGAGCCTCTCGGGCAGCTGGCGATAGGATTAGGTGTGGTGGTTGGGACGGCATTAGGGCTAATGTTTAAGTGCGACCCGATTAACCTGTGCCACTGGCCAGTTTGGCCTCTCGCTTTAAGAACTTTCGATCGGACACAATGTGAGGATCATGTGATTCGAATGTGAAGTTGGGACGGCCAGTGAACGGCATCCCGGAAACCGTGCTTACTGATTGAATGCTCAGACATGAGTTTTTACATAACAATGACGTGCTTACTTATTTAATTTAAATAGGTATAGTGTACCAGAGTTTATTCGCCGTAAGGCGCTCAAGGTTAGGGCTGGGTCTAGGTTACAGTTAGGTTAGAGATTAAGGCTAAGCTTGCCTACTGCATGCCCTTTTACCCAATCCGGCATTCTCTAACCAGTGACCTTGGATTATCTGTTTTCCATTGGTTTAAGTGCCGCTACTTAGCATCATTCAAATTGGGCGGTCTATTACGGCACCTCGTTGGAGTAATAAAATAAAGACATGGAAGAAATGCGAATTTTCCAAATGCCTGTCGCAGATTCTGATAATTGCCGCGTCCACCTACTCTGCTGATAAGACTAATATTAACATCCCTCCCGAATTAGTGGAGTCCCTGTGCTCAATTATCACCGATGAGTTGACATATTCACTCCCTACCCCTTGCTTCACAGGGTATCGCCGAATCATTCGGTCTTCGTAGGAGTAGCTCGGCATGGAAAGGGAGAAGAACAACCGGATTGGCACTGTCAGAAATACCAGACAATCTGCTAGTCAAATGATCACTGTACAGTTAGTCGGAGTGACTACATCCCAGTTCAACGTTCCACAGTTAAGTTCATGACGACAAATCAATGCGTAGTGCCGAAAATAGCAACGTTGTTGTCGTTCTCAAGCACCAGAGGTTCCGCACACCCCCATCCTTGCGTCTATGTAGAAAAATTACGAACTGAGATTCTGGCAGAAAAGAAATCTGAGTTTTTTTCGCGAGTTGAGGGAAAGGAGGGGCATCAAAATAACGTCCTCAGTCCGCCGGGAAGTTGGGCCAATTCTCAGATTCACACTGCGGTACCACAACGACCACACCGGCTGAAGGTCCTTGCAATCGTCTGCTCAGACAGCTAAGGACACTTCACGCAACACGACGTTCTTCTGCCAATCACGGAAAACGACAGCAAAATTGGTCGGAAACAGTCGTAAAAAGTACTGACCATCGGAAGCAGGCCCCAGACGTCGGTGACACTAGAAAGCCCTACCAAAGTATTCGCGAAGTTAGTGCCAGATGGTCTGCACTGGGCGACCCGGTCGGTGCGGGCAATTCGGTCAAGGTCGAGTGCTGGCATCAGCGGTTCGAGAGCCTCGTAAACTTTGATGACCAACCAACCAGCTCTCGCCATCCTTCGCAGCAGAGTCTCATCTCTCCATCATGGCAATGTAGCAAGGAGGCAGAGTAACAGCAAGGCGTTCAAAGAGGACGGCACGCCAAGTGCATAAGTCTACAAGTCTCGTGTCGACACTCCGGTTATTTTATTGCTGCCAACTCGTCAAAATCGGACGACGGCAGGGACACTTCGAGTACCTTTTCAACTTCGCTGGCTGGCTCGTCACCCCTCCCCAACCATGCGATGTTGTGTGACACTCAACCCCAGAAATAGAGAGAGAGAGACATAGAGAGACATAGAGAGAGAGGCGACATTATCGTCCACCGGCAGTTTCAGCGTACGTATGACTCGGAGACGGGACCCAAGCGATCCAGGTTCCAAGCGGGAAAAGACTGCACCGATCAAAATATATTCACACTGCAGTGCACTATGGAGTTGTGTCACGGCGACCAACAGCCTAAAGACGTTAACTTGGGTAGGGGGCGCTCACCGATCGTTCTTACGGAACTCACTCGTTCCGTTGTGCCCTACGGGCTCTCCCTCGGGCCCAACCAGCAGCCGCACAGCGGCGCACGATAAAGGCAATATGCTATTACCGACAAAGACAAAGGAGACTGGAATGGCCATTTCCGGCTTATTAGCCGTCGTCAGCCAGTCATACTGTTGGGAGTGCCTGCACTCCCAAAAACAAGAGCCAACCAATCACTGGAGACCATTTGCGTTTACTCTCTCTACAGCGCTGTCATCTTAATCGGGCGCCTCTCCATTGGCTACTCTCCTCTTCCCGAAGGTCATTGGGCCGAATGTCGGCGAACCACAGTAGGGTGTTATAAATATGCGTCACCTTTCAGCTAGTCGTGACTTGCGGTGTTTCTCTTATACACTTTCCGTGGCCATCCGTGTTTTCTTTGTCTGCCGCTTTGGCATTGGGGACAAGGGTCGAGTGCGTATACGCTCCACGGGATTTCAAGTACCAGGCGGGTCATAACACATACCCGACCCCGAAGTGTGGAACACAAGAGGCTCGGAAGACGCAGACGTTGCAAAGCGAACCTGCGGCGTCTATTGCTCTCCGCTAGCGGAGATATGTCCCCTACGAGGCGTCTTCTGCCGAGACACGCAACCCTCCTGTTGTCGGAGGCAGTTCTGCGCTCTTCTGGGTGGGCGGCTGTTAGTAAAAAAAGGTTGATAATTATCCATTACCTTACGGTAACCGCCCTGGCAAGATACCTAGCAGCCAACGGCGCGGTAGTGCGTGTGGCTTTGTTTGAGCACATTCCTCATTGGCTGGTGTAGTTTCTGCAGTCAGGGAGCTGCGAAACTGAAAGAACACTTGGAGAACCGGGTGTTCCACACTTCGGGGTTGGGTATGACTGGCTGACGACGGCTAACAAGCCCGAAATGACCATTCCAGTCTCCCTTGTCTTTCTCGGTAATAACATACTGACGTTAACTTTGCGAACTTCGTCACAGTGTTCGATTTCGTCCACCGTGCAGCCCTGCGGAGGATAACGAAATCAGGCGGTACATGCTGGCAAACACCACCGCTGTGGTTAAGATCTGATTTCGATACAGTACCGCGAAGTACCGCGACAACAATATTTCCATACCGTTCAACAAGATGGCAATTTGTTGCTCATCTGCAGAGTTCGATCCCGTTCTGTAGGGGCGCCCGCGGTGGCAAGAGCATTCGTCAGGACCAGCACCTACTGTCGCCAACTGTAGCTCACAACGATCTTTCCTGACCGCTTTGAAAAGATTGCATCCTATTGCCTATTATGTTAAAGTACACCACTGACTGACTTCTAGGAAGGACCCTGCAGGGCCTTGAGGGTGTTGAATTTGCACCCAAGAGATGCGCAAAACAGTGGATAGATTAGAGCACGGAACGCGTAAACCAGGCTGCGTGGAGCCCGAATGCGGAGGTTGAAGTACTGCGGCACACCTAGGCGCAGGGTCGTGCCGCGCCGGCCGCTTGTTCAACTCCAGTACCAAATGGCTAACCGACTCGGACAGAGGGCTGGGGCATGGGTGAGGGAATAGAGCGAGAGAGGCTGATGCTAAGGACTCCGTTCCCAGAATCTACAAAAAGGACTAGGCGCTTTGAAACTATCATGGCACGCAAAAAGTCGTGGCTTTGGAGACGGCAAACTGACTGGGTCACTTGGTCCTCTCAAAGCGGAAAGTCAGGCTGCAATGATTCCTTCTTAGTGTGGCCAATGCAGCATCCAATCAGATTGGATCGGAGCCCCCCTTGCTTCTGTGAAACCCTGGTACTTGTGCGTTGATCCTGAGTGTACATGGCACACGCACTGCGGAATACTTGACTCTGTCATAACATTGGGTTCAGGTGGGTAAGGGGAGAGAGAGAGTGCGGTAGACGCAGCGCAAGTCCGCCATCGTCCACCACGTTGTGGAGACACACGGTGAACATAGTCTTTTGAGACGCTTTTTGAACTACATTCCTGATTAGAATGCACCCCTCAGCTAACAATTTGAAGGAGAAAATAATTTCAAATACCACTGAGCAGGGCTGCTGTTGAATGGACAGACTGGGGACAGTGTCGCCTTACGGATAGATGCTCTTCACAGGGCTTTCGCGAATCACGGAAAGACTTCATGGATTCGCCGCGATATCCACATCATCACACGGATCTGTATGTATCAGGTATCCAGCCGGCCATTCCTGTAGAAGAAAGGCAAGTGCAATCCCCAAAACCATCGAGCCCGACTGGAGCACACTTACAGCTTTACCGATTACCACTCATCGATGGGGATCTACTCGTCCCCCCTTGCCTTGGGGATCGATCTCGAGCCCCACAGGTAACCGCATGGGGACTAATAATTTAGACAGAATGACATTGCCGGAAAAGACAGGAGAGAGACCAGAGGGACTATTCCCGACTTATCAGCAGTCTTCAGCCAGCCACACCTAATCCCGACGCAAAGCAGTCCCGCTTGGCACTGAACGGAGTTTGCACTCACAATGACGAGTATTCAACGGTTCAGACCAAGCCTACGTATAGAATTAAGAGGCCGTAGGTCTAACAAACAACGTAAAGTCAATGTAAGAATGTCCACTGAAGAGAACAGGCAGGTAGGAATGACCAGTTAGAGTTTAATATACTATAATTCCACATCAAGTGGCCGAACATATTTCGCAAGTGTATGACCGCGACAGATTGTGAGTTCGAAGGCAAGAAGAAGTCATGTGTTTCGCTGTGCAATCAGAGCAGATTCCCTGAAAATGGTGCACTGTAACAAGGCTGTGGTTATACACGACACAATGACCCTAGAATCATCTAGGTCCTAAAGCGGTGGTTGTTTGCTCAAACGACACTTAGAAACTCATCAGCCGGTCTAACTTATAAGGTCCTCGTCCAGTCGAACTCGATCTACATTATTCGCTCAAGGAGATAACCAAAAATAAAAGGTAATATTTCGCAGAAACTCAGTAGGACTTCTGCCTCCCCATGGGAAATAAAGACATACTAACACAGACTACGAACTGGAGAGCACGTGGGATGTTTAGTAAGCAGGCGTCAAACAGGAAAGACCGGTAAGTGAAACAGGGGGCTATCAGGAACAAACCTATGACACTTGTGCTGGGAGACGCGTGTTTCGTCCGTCGCCGGGGTAGCGGCACTGTCGCGTAGACGGGCGATGACTCCGGGAGCCCCACAGACTGCTTGCCTTCACCTGGGGTTTACAAATGCAACTTGTATATAGCGACTACTTAAATAGTAAAAAGTAAGATGTTTTTTACAATAAGATTGACTCGCTAATGGGGTTCAAATGGAGGGGGCGGTGAACGAAAGGGCGGTCTCTGGCCCTCAAAGGTCGATCTGGACAACGAAGGACGCAGATCGCACAGGAACAAGTTAGGAGGGAGCCACAAAACATCCAGGAAGAGTATTGGAAGGTAATACGATAGTCGCAGGGCTACACATCAATATCAACGTTCCTAACGTTCGAATAAGCTACTTTCGAGAGTAACTAAGGGACAGACTTGACTGAAAGAAGGCGAAAATGCAAAAAAGCTAAACAAAAACATCCAAAAGTCCTAAGAACGATGTGCTTGTTACAGCATAACGGGTTAGTTTAGACAGATTCGAGTCCCCAAATATCGCCACAGTTTTAGGCATTCGGTGGGAAATGTTGCCTCTAAAAATGTATGATTGAGAGGCATGGGGAAACGGAGCGAGGCCAGAAATTGAGATCACAGGCGGGGTACGGCTGAGCGACGATGACTGTGTCCCTTGACCTAGTGTCACGGGCGTTGTTTTGGTGGATACGAAGGTAACCTGTAGGGCAAATGTGGACCATAAAAGTGCGCTTACAGCGGTGTTTCTCCATAATCCAATTCTTATGGCATTTCCCTGGTCTCCAGCAGCTGACTGGCTTCAACGACCTCAATTCCAATTTGTCCTATGGCTCGCTGTGTCTGACAGTCACTTGCGCATTCTCACGTAGCCCTGAATGAGCACAAGGCATTGCGGTACTGCTTCACCGTCCTCCCAGCACGCAGCCGCTTGTGCAGGATGGTGTTCATCTGACACCCTAAAAACGTATCCATTCCATTAAAGTCGGATTTGCCTTGACGCCGGAAAGATGCTGAGCATGCAGATCGATTCTAGGGTCCCGACGTGAGGGTAAAAGTTTCTGCCAATCCATCTCCGCGACTATCAGAACAAAAAGGGGTGAAAGTGTTTGGTGCTAACTTCCTGGCACCTGAGCAGAGGGACCGACTTTTGGCGTCGAAGAGAGGTTTAGTCAACACCACGGCTCGGTGTTGAAGGTGGTGTAGCGGTTTCATACTAGTGGTCCCAGTTTGTCAAAGATGCGACCATGCTCGAGTATTCGAAGTGCAAGTTCCTCGTCGACCCGGGTGCTGCTGGTGATTGTAGTGCAGCTAGGCCAAGCCGGTTAACGTTACGTACATGTGACTTTGAATAGTCCATTCGCAATCAGCAGGGGATAAGCTTGCAAAAACCGCTGCTCCGTCGAGCTCAGGCACGAACGTCAGGTTGTGTCGGCTCAGCGTACGACTGACCGGAGACGGTGGATGAACCAGAAACGGCCACTGAGTCATCTACTACGCCTTCCTGTTTACATAGTAGAATGTACAAAGGAGCGAGTTCCTGCAAAGGGTTAACGAGAGATTGCCATTTCGGTAATTCTGCCTTGGGGAAAAGGGCATTACCTAAACAGGTATTTTTGGGGATGAAATCTATAAAGGGACCGTTAAGATTCTTAGCCCAACACACCGCCATGCCATCACCGCTGAGTATGCACATAACTAAATCTACACGAGAATCGAAGTAGTACAAACACTTCCGGATAGGGTAAATGCCCATAAACAGCGACCTCCCTTTAAAGCATTCAGGAGGCAACGATCGACGATGATTGAATTGCCAATGCCCTGAGATAGATAGGCCTCGACCATCGAAGCGCAGTCCACAGGGTGAGCCCGTTCGACTACTGTCACACAAAAAGCGCACTCCTAATAACTTCTCCCATCGACGAACATATCACACGGACCTAATGGACGGAGTAGGAAAGACATTGTCGCCCGAATCGATGCTGCCTGCTGGGTTTTCTCAAGCCTTCGGAAATGCCTATGGATCCGACGTGACCTCTCCATCGCCACTAAGATTCGCGTGTACCGTGCATCTGTCCGGTCTGTCCTTCTCTACGGTTGTGAATGATGGGCTTTACGCGTGGAGGACGAACGAAAACTGGAGGTATTTGACCACCACTGCTTGAGGACCATCCTTCGAGTGAAGTTCACTGACTTCGGCTCAAATGAGACAGTCCGCGCTCGCTGCGACAACATCGCAAGGATAACTCAGGCCATCCAAGAAAGACGATTGAGCTGGTTCGGGCATGTTCCTCGTCGTCCACCTCAGAAGCTCAGTGTTACTGCCCTCGATCCGGCACCGTTGCCCCATTGGAGGCGTCGAAAAGGGGGTTAGTTCAAAACCTGGCTCGACACAGTTCGTCAGGACATGGAGGTGGTTCTTGGACCTTCGGTATTCGGTCTACGTCGTTGGCGAAGGGAATGGGTTGAGCTGCCCAGATCTGCTGCCGCGGATATTCACGCGTGGAGAGGTACAGTTCGGGACATCATCGAGGTCGGCTAGATCAGGCATGATCGCAACCGTATCAGGTACAAGTTTAAGTTGAGCATCTACGCAAAGCTGTCTTCCCGCAGGGCAGCTGAAGATGTGTGCGGGCACAGGGTCCGATGTGCCAAAATCCACGTTTACGCGTGCCACACACACGTCCCGGTCTCGAGAAGTAAACTGCAAAGGGGTTATCACAGCTTGACCCTCACTCCAGAGGAGGAGGACTACGTTATTCCATACGCTGATAGCCTTTCAAGTCGCGACTTTAGGAGCGCCTTCAGAGATTAAAAAAACGTTGGCCAGTAGACAGAACGCAGTCTCTCGCCCGTCTCCCACCGGACGGCAAGACTGAATCAGGTCGACAGAAGGAGAGTCAAGGTGCGGTGACTGAAGGGTCATAAGGCCGCTGCCTAACGCGAGGCACATATATGCACGGCCATCATTTGGCGGTAGAGCAACAGGGCAGGGCCTTTTTGGCGATCGGTCAACACGTGCACACACTGGCCGAGTTCGCATTCCCAACTTGCTTAGAATGCGGCTCGTTTTGTCTGTCGGAAGTAAGCTCCTCAGATCCTCGACCGTTTTCTGATCCATGCGACGTGACCGAGGTCTGGGTGGTTACGACAAAAGGCAACTCCTATGCCCTGGAAGGCGCATCGCGTAGGCAGACCATAAGGTTAATCGGGCAACGAAATGGGAGGAAACGAAAGCGTCCACGGGTCGGAGTCACTGCATCTTTTCCGGTGGCCGAACAGTGTAGCCGACTTGTACCACTCGCGGGTCATCCGTCGGTGGCAGCCTACCTCCCACCATTTTCTGTTCGGACTCACGTTTTCAGCGTTTGGTCTGATGGACCACTTGCAAACACTATGCCCTTCCTACCCCACTTCTCCGGTATCATAGACGTTTTTTTCGCATTTACGCGAGGCCAATAGACAGAAAAGTAGTTCACCTTAAGACTGACGTGGCTATATACGGCAGCATCTGCCGCACTCCCTCCTTCCACCCGATGGAAAGGCAATGGCAAGACGACAACAGATTGATACAGGCACAATGGCAAAAAACTGGAACAACCCGTCTACGCGAGCCACACACGGTCTGGCTCCGGTGAATGTACTGGGCGATCTGGATCCGTTGGGTAAGGTGATACCATCCTAAAAGCACAGGTACTAGCCAAAAACCCATACACGCGTGGTTCGCCGATGTTTTGCCACTGCATGGCGCAGCTGCGAGGGGTTCCCCAGCATTCCCCGTGTGTTTTCTGGGAGATACTCCAATTTAGAAATTGTCGCTTTTTACTTTCCTCAGAAATTATCTCCGAAGTTGGAGTAGATCAGTGTATTCAAGGTAGATAATTTCTGAGAAAACTAAAAAGCGACGATCTGGATCTTACATGGCTGAAAGCGCCATAAAGGTCGCACTGAGGAGGAGCAATGAAGTCTGATTCAATTCTCTGGTCACTCCAAAATGCTCACCGAGCGGGATGTAGTTACCCTGAGCATAAAATTAATCAACGAAAACGGACGTTCAAGCACTCACCCGAAAACGGATGCTGAAGGAGGGCAAACGCCTCTGGTTGGTCATCTCCAGGGCTGACGAGGGAAAAAAAAGAGGAACAGAGTAGGTAAACACACACACGAGACAGACAAAAACCAAAGCGCCAACCGGACTGAATTGAGAAAGGAGGGGGGGGAGAGGGGGTAGATCTCGCAGGGTCAGCCATCGTCAGCAGTCACAGTTTGTTCCGGTTGCCTCGCAGTGCCTCGAGGTGGAGCGGAAATCAAAAACGAGAACAGAAATTGCAAATACAGTTTTGGGTTCAGCGGGGAGGAGGAAGACAAGAACATTAACTTGCACAACTGCGACTACTGCTCACAACGGCCAATGATGTCAAGGCTACCAGTTTACGGAATCATGCGACATAATGTCCGACAGCTCGGCTTCCGGCTTGACAGATGATTCAAAAAGCTCTCTAACCCTTCTGCATTTAGCGGTGAAGGAATCTTGTTGTTGGTTGTTCAGTCTTTCTAAACCTCTCCCCCTCCTGCTGAGAAGTCAGGCAAGTTGGTCTTCCTTCACAGAGGCATGCATTTTAGCAAACTACATCAAATAATGCTTGGATCTGAGGGGAGGATGGAAGGAGCTTACGAAGAGGGGGGGGAGGGAATCGTCAGGGGGGACGAGATTCAGCCGAATGAGCAAATGCAGCTGTCTACAAACACAGAATGTGGTTTTCAAGGGAATGATCCCGCTTCCAAAAAATGGTTGGTCTGGCCAAATGTCGAATTGCAAAATGATATTCAGTCAAACTACACAAAAATAAGTAACAACGATAAACGCATAAACATCAGTCTTGCTGCCGTTACTCCGTGTTAATTTGCCCGTCAGTCGCGTTCAGCAAGAAAAGATGACTGTGAATAGCAGTTCGTCAGGTCAAAGAAGACTGCAAGTTTACATCAGCTTATGTCTGGACGATTAAAGTCGTTCGTTAATAGATTTTCCTCTATCGTCAATTTTGGAATTTATGCCAGTAGTCAAACGAAGCCACTATCGTCACTCCTCGGCAGAGCAGATGTATTCAATGAGCATAGTTTGCAGGGTCTGGATAATAGCAGAGCAGGAGCCTTCAGGGAGAAAGTTGGTGACTAAAGACGGGGTCGTTACCCCATAAGACATCCGCCATCTTGCCTATTTAGCAGTCCCTGACAATATTCCATGAGAAATTCCGACTGTCACAGACGGAGTGGGCACGGCAGTGGTGGCTAGCACCAAAGGTAGTTGGCAGCGAGGTCAATTCACGTTGCATCTACCATACACCCTCATCCGCCTTGCTTCGATGGTAAGCCAACCTCAAGACGATCTGAGGCAAACTTGGGCGCAGTGGCCGGCAAAGCCAAACAGCCCGTCTACGCGTGCCACACACACGACCTGGTCCCAAATGCATACACTGGGCGGTCGGAGTCTCAGGCGTGTCAGTGTTGCAGGAGTCAAATCAGGAAGGCGCCATGTTAGTTTGACTCCCAGTCCTGAGAAGGAAAGGGATATCCCGCCAGTTGGCAACCCTCCAAACCATGAGTGTTGGCAAATCTTGGTCGGTTCAAGCGCCTTAGGTGTATTTTAGTGAAGAATGCACTTATTTTCCGTGGGAAGATTCTCCAATATCGGCTTTACGCACTCTTTCCTCTCTCATACACCTATCGGCCACCGGGGTCTCTCAACCAGCTAGTGCTGGGAATCGCTTTGTACAGTATACCGTCTTACAAGTAATGGCAGGGGCCGCATATAGCCATCAAAGTGTCAAGGTGAGCTATTTACTGGTGATAGATTTCCGGTCAATGAGAAAAACCTTTGTAATTCCGTAGGAGAAGGGCATGCTTTGGGAAAGGGTGGGTTCGCAGTGTCCTTAAAATGGGCCACGCGGTAGAGGCGCTGAAGCAACACAGGGGCTAGATCGGTATCCAGCAGCCCTATCCGGATTTCACACTTATGCCACAAATGCCACCACTGGAGGACTGGTGGCAGGCCCATTTGCCGTTTTACGCTGCTCCGATCGAGATCGGGGCCGTTCCACCCCTACTTTCTTGGAGTATGAAATTCTCGTCAGTGTCCGTTGTGGACCAGGGAGTGTGGTGGTACGCCTAGGTGCGGGTTTACGCCGTGTCAATCACCTGTGCCCACTCCCCGCCTTCGGTCTTAACACCGGGACCAGCTGGGAGGAGAGAGCGCGGTAGATACTGCGGAAGTCTAAAATCCTTTTGAACTAACTCAAGCACAAGTCGCTGTCCCTGCTTTCACTCAGTTGTGGAACACTCGGGTGGACATCGTCGGAGACGACGGTCGAATTATGCAATCCACTGAACCAAACACCGGAAGCAGATAGTGGAAGGTAAGCTGTCTGTCCATTAGCGACCGGCTACGCTGTCCGGTCAGAGAAAAAAAGAGATGTGGTGGCTCTGGACGACTTGCCAGTGAGCCGCAGGATTAAGAGTTTGCCTGAGGAGGAGGAGGGGGGGAGGAGAGTCGTGATGAAAAAGCTGGATAGGCAGCCAGGCGTTTCGAGATGGCGGCTGGTGCGTTGCATACGTGGTGTGTGGCCGGACTGCGCAGACGTTTTGCCGAGAAGCCAACTTAAGGGGTTTTATGTTGTGTTCAGTAAGAGAGAACGGTGACGAACCTTATGAACACGTCACAAGGGAAGTGGCTTCAGAAAACGGAGTGGGATGAGATTATGCCAGTTGCTATTGTTAAATGTGGATTTTTTGGGTGGCTGGGTAGCCTGGGCAGGTAATGGTCCTTGACATTTCGCTTTGGATAGTAGCGTGAGAAATATTTGTGGCAGTGGTAGGTCAAAGTGGGACGTATTGCGCGAGATCGTGCTTTCACCTCAAAGTGTTGGAGCCCTTTGGCTTCAAGTCGAGCCGTCCGGTTAGATGTTTTCGTGGAGTCTTCGGCCCTACTTGATTGACCTTTCACGGATACAGTATTAACAAAGCCAGATACAAACAGGCATAAACAACCATGGAGCTGCTTCCTTTTGTCGTGTACATCGTGTCTCTGCATCTACGTTGCCAGCCATTAACTGCCCTCGGTTAGGCAGACTGAGGTGGCTGTTGGGTCAACGTACCTCACTAACCCTCCCCACACATGGAAATCACCAGCACTCATGGCTTAGTGGACAAATAAATGTATATGTATATTTGAAGAGTTACAGGCAGAAATCTTGATGACTCTATCAATGTACGGCCAATTTCGCATATGCACAGACAGTGTACGGGTTGCAGACACTTGTAATGTGTAAGGACGACTGTCGCTGTTTATCGAGAATCAGATCGGAAGGAGAGTAAAACACGAAGTCACCTACAAGACCGGCCGTAAGTAATCGCGTAGTGAAATAAGAACTTTGTTACACATTTTGCAATCAAACGCTGTCACCAAGCGGTCGTCGTCAACTTGCTTGGTAGCGAGTACCATGGTCCGACCACTCGTTGGCTAAAGAGGTCTCTTCCGAGGTCTAGTCGCGTGGGTTCACTGCTGACCCTGTGGAGATAACCGCATGGATGAGCTCTGACAACGACCACGACCACAGACAATCTGGAATGTCCAGAACAGGTTACATCCCAAGTGCCTGTAAAGTTGGGGAAATAAGTCACGCTCTGTCAACCTCTCCTGGCACGGTACATCCTTAGACCCATCTGCCGCCTTCCAAGAGACCCATAGCCTTCCCCATCCACGGTGTCCAAGTTGGCATTCCAAAATCCAAATGGGATCATACGAAGGCGCCGAAGATTTTTTCGAAGAGTTCGGGAAGAAACACTTTAAACGCATGCAACATACTAGTTGCCTTCTGGGCCATTTACTTACAATGCTCTGACGGCATCAAACTAGCGGTCGTCCACACGCCCAGACCTTTGTGCGTTTACACACCTTTTAATGCTGTGTCGTTAATAAAGAACTGGTGTTTAAAAGATATTCTTCAGCTGGTGCTAAGATGCAGGACCACGGGGTTAGATACGATAAGCCAAAGAAGCCAACTATTCGAATAAACACTCAGTTTATCCATGTTCGATTGCAGCATTTTTGCGTCTTTGGCATGGCTGATTTCAGCCCATATCTATGTGTCGTCAGCGGACATGCTAACTTTAGCATGCAGTTCCCTGGGCAGTCATTAACGTAGATCAGGAAGAGCAGTGGGTCTAAAACAGTCGTACGGAACGAGTAAGTTCCGTAAGAACGATCGGTGAGCGCCCCCTACCATTGTATGTTACCGATCGAAACCGACAGGGCAACGGGCTCGTGGTCCAGTGGTCAAAGGCGTGGACTTCTAACTAACAGGTCGCGAGTTCGAGCCTCGGGTGTTCCACACTTCGGGGTAGGGTATGACTGGCTGACGACGGCTAATAAGCCAGAAATGGCCATTCCAGTCTCCCTTGTCTTTGTCGGTAATAACATACTGTCTAAAACAGGACTCTGTGGGATACCACCTTCAATCACTGCACATTCAGAGGTAGAATTGCCAAAAACAACTCTCTGTACTCTAGGAGGCAGGAAACGACAAGGACTAGATATACAGTAGACGCGCTAACTCAAGGAATGTTAACCGAAATTCTGAAATGCATTTTCGACTCGAAAAGACTACTCCATCAGGGTTCTAATATTAAGCACCGTGCAGCGTAATCACAAAATAAAGCAATTACTTCAGGATGCGGGCTTTTGAACGGTCTTCTTTCCGGCCGCACTGAGAAAATTGACTACTTGAATAGTATGAATTTTTCTCATTGATTTTTGATACCCTCATAAATCCAAATATGTTTCATAGAAAACACGCATAATAATATTCGTTCTTTTGCTCATTCGGTAGAAAATGACTTCTTCCAATTTTATACTCGAAGGAAAGGTATGATTCAGACTTAAAAAGTTTTTAATTGTGAGATTTTTTAGACCATGAAATGTCCGTTCGTAAAACATCACGTCTTTGCAATTACTAATATTAGGGCAGGGGGGCGCTCACCGACCATTCTTACGGAACTCACTCGTTCCCTTTTGCCTTACGGGTTCTCTCTCGAGCCCAATATTGCTAGTAAAGCTTAAAATATGGCTCGAATCCACTGCTAACTTTCATGAAACCCACATAGTCTCCTCTTATTACCGTATAGAAATGAATGATTTTCCGTGCATGGAAAATATACAGGTTGTAGTTTGGAAACCCTGGATGCAAGTGTAACGGCAGGTCGGGCTCAAAATTATTCCGGAATTAGGAAAGTTTTTTAAAACTGGATTGCGCCCTTCCTTCAAGTACGAAATTTAAAGAAGATTTAATTCCCTACCAAAGGAGTAAAAAGGATGAGCATTTTCATGCGTTTTCTATGAAATATATTTGAATTCGTAAGGGCGACGAAGATCGATGAAGAAGATTCATATTACTGAAGCAGTCATTTTTGTAGAGCGCCGTTTTTGCAGGCAGCCGGGTAGAAGTTTGTTCAAAAACAGGCATCCTGAGGTATCTGAATTACCATGGAATTATGCTCCACGGTGATTTATGTTACAGCCCAACTTGAGCAATATTTTAGAGTCGAAAACGCATTTCAGGACATCCGTTAGCAATTCATGAGTTAGCACATCTACTGTATGCGCGGGATAAGAAAATACCAACTGCTGTCTAACAAATTCGCTGGCACTTTAACCCTCCTGCTTTACGGGCAGACGTACAGTAGGTGGGCTAACTCATGAAATGCCAACAGAAATTTCGAAATGCGTTCTCGTTTCGAAAAGATTAATTAGGTATGGTTGTAAAACTGCGCATCATGCAGCATAATTCTATAACGATTCAGATACCGCAGGGTGCCTTTTTTCGAATGAATATATTTCCGACTGCATGCAAGAACTGCACTCCGCAAAAACTGACTACTTAAGTAGCATGCACTTTTCTCATCGATTTTCAATGTCTTTAAAAGTTCAATTATATTTCATGAAAAAAGTGTATGAAAATATTCATTTTTTTATTTATTCGGTGGAAAATTACGTCTTCTTCCAATTTTTTCCTTACTGGAAGAGTATAATTCTGTCTTAAAAACTTTCCCAATTCCCGAATAATTTTGAACTTGCTCTACCGTTACATTTGGATTCGGAGTTCCCAAACTGCAAGTCGTAAATTTTCCGCAAACGGAAAACCGCAATTTCTCTACAGAAATGAAAGGGGATCATATAGAGTTCATAAGATTTAGCAGTGTCTTTGAGCAATATTGTTAACTTTACAGTCCACATTATTAAATGTAGATACATGACGTTTTATGAACGGCCATTTCACAGTATTATAAAATCGCACAATTAAAGACTTTTGAGACCGAATTATACTAATCCTTCGAGTATAAAATTGAAGGAAGACGTAATTTTCTACCGAATAAATAAAAAATGAATATTCTCATGCATTTTTTTCATAAAATATAATTGAACTTTTAAGGACATCGAAAATCGATGAGAAAAATGCATGCTACTTAAGTAGTCAGTTTTTGCGGAGTGCAGTTCTTGCATGCAGTCGGAAATATATTCATTCGAAAAAAGACACCCTGCGGTATCTGGGTCGTTATAGAATTATGCTGCATGATGAGCAGTTTTACAACCCGACTTAATTAATCTTTTCGAAACGAGAACGCATTTCGAAATTTCTTTTGACATTTTATGAGTTAGCCCACCTACTGTACACATTTTAGCTAAGATTATTTCGAGTATTTTTTTTACTTTCTGACTGCTCTCCGCGCCTAAAGTTTTTTGAAATTGAGTTTTCTTCTATTTAAAGAATTGCGTTTAGGAGGTGCAGAAAAATGAATTAATGTGGGTATTTCAGCAGCGCCGGCTCCTCGGGGCGGTACAGGTCAACGAAAGGCTGACCAAAAACTCTGAAGAAAAACACTTTCTTCGAAAAATATAGTAAGCAGGTTCCCATAGTTTTTTTCCTGTCCCGCGCATATACTTAATCCCGTGAATTTTAGAGGTGAATTTTTAGAGGCCATCCATTCTGACAGCGCGTGCATCAATCGACACGTAGAATTGGATACGGTGTACAACAGCCTCAAAGAAAAGTGGAAAAGGCGTTAGCCAATCAGAACATCACACCAGCAGGAGTAACAAAGGCAAAATCGATTTTTCGGCATGTTTAAATGTTAACTGTGTTGCACACTTACTTCACGTCTGAAGACGACTTGGGGAACCAAGTTCGAAAATTTACAATAAAACTTGTTTAATATTTCCCAAAGAGCTGTTTTCTTTCGAATACTTAACCCCTACACAGGAAACTTCCGATTCATCCGGACATTCTGCCACAAATCTTTCGCAAGGGAAGCCGACGTGGAGCGCTATCGAAGGCCCCCCTGAAGTCAAAAAAGTATAGAATCGACTGAACGGCCCCTGTTTGCGGTCTTCGTTCGTCTCTCATGCGAGTAACGAATTTTGGTGAGACAAGAGCGTTCCCGACGGAAGCCATGCGAGACGTCCCACAATGGGGTTTTCCCCTCCAGATGCTATGCATTACATGTCTTTTTATAATGAACTCCAGTATTCTGCACTAAATGCCTGTCAAACTGACTGAACGGCGATTTTCGGTGATAACTGCACACTTTCAATACTCTGGGAGTTTGCTTTCGTCACAAGACTTTCGAAATACAACAGATAACGGCTAGCACAGTTCACTGTCCAGCTATTGAGGTATTAGTGCGCATATCTGGCTCGGACCGGGCGATTTGGCGAGTCTCAGTCCGCCATTAATAATGCTGACAAAAAGTACAGTTTCTCTGTTTAGAGAAGGGAAGAGGAGTTCGATTGGAAAACGAGTGAAAGAGAAGAAAATACTGAAATATCTGGGCAATTTATTACCCTTATCGGACTCTGTCTTCGATGATGGATTAGAGTGGGAATTCGAAACGTCAAGCTAATGAAGCTCTAGTTCCAGCGATAGTGTCTCCCTCTTCTCTACATGAAAGGTGCCTTTGGAAAGTGGAATGTATGTAAGCAAACCCATTGTCTATGTCTGTCTTTACCCGATAGATACCGGCGACTTTGGCGATATTGAAGATGATGAGAACAAGACAAGCTTCGGTCCCTTTGGTCTGACGTTGTTTGGGACAATACAAGCCTTTGATTTGCTATTTGAAGGGCATTGGAAGTTTTCTGCACACAAAGGTAGACTCAGATTGCTTAACCAGCAGTGATGTGTTTTGCGGAACCGGCGTTCGGGCCACTATGCTACCGCCCATGAGACTAATTGTACTAGCCTTCAAGCCGTGGCAAATAAACCACCGCATTTACGAATTTTTCTACATGCGGCGAGCCGATAAGGAACTGTCGTATCTGAGAGATATCTGGATGACAAATTCTATCCATGCTAAGATCTGGGCCAGTCACGGCTTAAAAGGAAAAATTGTTGATATACAAGTTATAAGATGCAACGGGACTACGACATACATCGGTCGGAATGGGAGTTTGTAATTACACGGTAAGGAAGTGACAACCCGGCAGTTCGACGGTCGTAACCGATGTGATCCACAGCCGGGGGAGGGTAGAAACAGTAACTTGCACTGTACCCACCACACCCTCACCTCCTCCCCCACCTAAGCCCCGCGTCATGACAGAGTCGAGATGACCGGTGGAGGGGGAGAGCGCAGGCGGCTGGGATGACGAAAGTCCACACCTAAGCGCGCCAACACACCCCCCCCCCGCCCAGCTGGTTCACAACGTACACTGACCAGGAATTTGTGCAACAAGGGTGGGTCTGCTTGGGGTCCAATTGGCGCGGTGCGAGCCTGCACCTGGGCGTGTCACCCAACACACACCCAATTTTGGCAGTTGTTATGAGTGCGCACGCCCAATAACGCCTGGTGGATCGCGATCTAGCCTTTATGTTGGTCCACCAACGCATCAACCGCCTGGCCTGTTTTATGGGCAAAAGGAAGCGACAGCATACGAATAGATGATTTACTGTCCGTATAATGAAAGTCAACCCAGTAAAGGCAAATACAGTGCGTGACCGATCTCATGAAATGTTGGCTAACATTCTGGAATGAGTTTCCGATTAGGAAGGATTACTTAAGTGTGATTATTATACTGATTATCATGCGGCATAACCCTATGGCATTTCGGACTCGCCAGGATGTCGGCTTTTGAATGTACTTCTTTTTGACCTCCCGCAGAAACCACATTCGGTGAAAAGTGACTACTTAAGTAGCATGCATTTATCCTAATGATTTTCGGTGGTCTTATAAATTCAAATATATTTTACAGCAAACATGCACAAAAATATGCTTTATTTTGTTCATTTGGTAGGAAATTACATTGTCTTTATATTTTATGCTCAAAGAAAGTGTATATTTAGGTTTCAAAAAAGTTTCCTGATTCCCGAATAATTTTCAGCCTGATCTGCCATTGCATCAGCGTTTAACAATTTCAGTCTACAAGGTGCATACTTTCCGCGTAAGGAAAATCATATTTTCCTCTATGCCTTTAAGAAGATATCACATAGAGTTCATGGAATTTTGCAATGGATCCGGATTGTGTTGTACATTTCAAGAGGAGCATTAGTAAACATACATGTGCGGTCTTACATGAATGGACATCGCAAGGGCTTAAAAATCTGATAATTAGAAACTGTTTTGAAACAAATATACACTTCCTTCGGACACAAAATATGAAGACAATGTAATTTTCTACCAAACGAACAAAAAAGCATATTTTTGTGCCTGTTTGCTGTAAAATATATTTGAATTTATAAGACCACCGGAAATCAATAGGAGAAATGCATGCTACTTAAGTAGTCATTTTTTACCGAGTGTGGTTTCTGCAGACGGTCAAAAAGAATTACATTCAAAAGCCGACATCCTGGCGAGTCCGAAATATTATAGGCTTATGCTGCATGTTAATCAGTACAACGACCCCACTTAAGTAATCCTTCCTAGTCCGAAACGCCTTCCAGAATTTTGGCCAACATTTCATGAGATCGGTCACGTACTGTATCTGTTCATGAAAGCATTCACTTCAAAAATTGAGCTGAAGGTGATTATAATTCCCAGGGTAATCATCTTTACATACACAAACTCGGTGACGGACCTCAGAAAATGATAACCGAAATTCTGAGACGTGTTTTTGATTAGGAATGATTACTCCAGTAGAATTATAAGATCAATTAGCATACAGCATAATCCCACAGTATTTAAGACGCGCCAGGATATCGGCTTTTCAATGCGATCATTTTCGGCAGCATACTGGAGTTTAATAAAAAGTGACCATCTACCAAATCAGTATAGGGAACAATATTTTTGTAGGTTTTTCTATAATATGTGTTTAAATTTAGAAGGGCGCCGAAAATCAATAGAAAGAGGCATACTACCTAAGTAGTCGTTTTTTACAGATTGCGGTTTTGCAGGCAGACGAAAAGGAGTGCATTCAGAGGCCAACATCCTGAGGTGTCAGAAATATCAAGGAATTATGATGGACGATAACCAGTATTATAAATTAACTTAGGCAGTCTTACCTAATCGGAAATATATTCCGGAATTTCGGTCAAAATTCAATGAGATCGGTCACTTACTGGGCTGGACGAGAGCCCGTAAGGCACAACGGAACGAGAGTTCCGTAAGAACAAAATATAAATATATATACAAATATCAATTATGACAGACTAGCGCTCACCGATCGGGTTACGGAACGCGCATGTTCCGTTATGCCTTGAGGCTCATACTAGAACGGAAAAACAAAATACTGCACAACGGAACAAGTACGTTCCCTAACTCAATCGGTGAGCGTTCATCGGTCATAGTTAATATTCTCGAGCACAACCGACAGGACAACGGGGCCGTGGCTCAATAGTAGAGTGACAAACTCCATGACAAAAGATACCGGGTTCGAATCTCAAGTTATCCACACTGGGAGTTGGGTATGACTGACTAACGACTGCCAATAAGCCAGGAGTGGCCAATCCGGTCTTCCTTGTCTTTGTCGGCACTATATCATATATATATATATATATATGTATTCTGGACGAGGAAATTCTTTGGGAAACTGGAACTTCTGTTATTTAAATTTTCGAGACTGGTCCCCCGGCTTGTCTTCCGACTATGTGTGTACAAAACAATTATCTTCTTAACAGAATCTAACCAAGGATTCTACGACTGGTAAAAATCCGTACTAATACATGTTAATCGCATTTCATCACCTCTCCGGGATTGGTGGCGCAGCATACAAAACCCTTAAGGAAAAATTCAAATTGGCGCAACCAATCCTGAAGAGATGACGAAATGTGATGCACACGTATTGCTCATTGAGCGTTGCTAAGTCCGACGCTCTACTACTGAGCTACGGGTCAATTTTTGGGTCGGTTTTTGATCGAAACATTAACTATGCTGGAAGGGTGTTCACCAATGGGGTCGCCTAGCCTGAGAAATCAAACAGACCTTTAAAAAATGTTCGTAGAATTCCGCTTTAGGCCAAAAAGAAGCTACTACTGATTACCCCTTCAGTAGCGCTTCCGGAAAGACCGAGTAATAGATCCCGTGTAACACAAAAGTAGACGAGTTTTTTTTAGAATTTTTGCACTGGTTTCATCATATGGTGCAAGGCATTACTGTCTGCCTGTGCTTTTGGCAGAATGAATCATCATCACCATCAACGAGGAGGCAGACGCATGCTCGCATGCGTGCAGAGGAAGGTGCTTACGTTTCGGGTCTCTCGAGTGGGTAGCTGATGCCCGGGCGGGCTGAGGGGGCGGAGAAGTCCGCGAAGGGACACCAACGAGGTCGGCGCCTGCGACAGAGGAGACCAAGCAGTAGGAGACAGAGGAGCAGAAGAAGGAGCAGACAGATGACACCGCTGATGGTCCCCAGAAGCCATGGCGACACCTTTTCTGCAGTCAAAAAGAACAACGTCTGAGGTAACAACAGTTTCAGATCAAAAGGGGGACTCAGTGGACACACGGAGATCTTGAATCTGATTTTCGAGGGGAGCGGGGAAATGGGAGGGGTTTGGGGGCAGGGAGGCGGAAGGGAGGATACTGATGGTGCTACAGTCCATCGCGGGGGTGAAGACGGTCACAGTCACACACCCGGCGAGGTGTCCGAGGGAAGCTTAGGTTTCACAGGGAAATTTCAGACGACGAGGAGTGGTGTGACAAGGACTGGCTGTGTTCTGTGACAATGGATGGAGTAGAGTACGTCGCAGGGCAGCTAGTCAGTTCTGCCAAGGCTAAAATGCCTATATGACAATAAAAGTTGTAATTTATGCAAGTACTTTCACGTGAAGTCGACGGTAAGACGGGACCAACTTCTTAGCCAAGTTGCGGGCTACTCGGTGGGTCTAAAGGTAGCGAACAGTAGAACGGTCAAGCTGCAAGGCAGGCATCCGCGGACCGTGCAAAAGTAGTATCATGCAACTGCTGTTCAGCGCGTGACGAGCAGGGGGGAAAAGGCGACGGTGAGGACCATGGTCCACGTGCCGGGGGGTCTATGGCGTTGAGAAGGGCAATTTGTCGCCCAACACGTTAAAAAGCTCGAGATAGGGGAAGAGAAAGAGGGAAGAGTGGGGGGGGGGGGAGAGGAGGAACACAAATAGCAGTCCTACCTGACTTTTCGTCAAAGTTCAGAAGAACCCTAAGCGCTGTAGACAGGGCGGGGTCACTGATGGCGGCAGTATCGTAGACAACATGCCTCTCGTCATCGCCGCCAGCAACACTGAGATCCCAAAAGAGCTGGATCCGGAGTTGCAGGTAGAACTGCGCAGTTTTTGGATCGCCTAATCCCTTGCTGGCGAGAAGGCTGCCCAGACCGGAGGCATTGAAGCCGGCGGGATCGGGAAGGAGCAAGAGCGATGACTGCAAGCAGAGGGTGACAAGAACTAGACTTGACGTAGTAAAACAGTAGGTAAACAAAGACAGGATAGCCACCTCTGGCTCATCCGCTGTGCTCGGTCAGCCATGCACCCAATCAGGAGAAATAGCAATTCTATTTTGCGTCATCATTGACACAAACCCCAAAGTACACCACACAGGGTCAGAAGACAGCCCTCCTGTCGTTCCGTATTGTCCTAGGCTGCATCGAACAGGATAAAAAATCACCACCACTGCCAAGGGGCCATGAATGACAAATAGCAACTGACGACGCGACAAGAAGGCGTAAACAGTAGGCAGTAGCAGGGGGAGGGGATGGCGAGACTGGTAGAGCATAGGGCCCGTTGCATCGTCCTCTAACAACACAGCAGCCTGGAGCATCGGCAGCATGCGAGGTGAGTGGAAGAATAAAAAAGTACAGTGGAGGAGCGAGGACTATGACAGACTGTCGCCTCCTGTCGTATGGCGCCAAATAAGCCCTAGAGGGAGGTGTTTGCGCTGCAGGAAGACCAAACGCCATGTGGTGTTCGCCGGCCGAGTCTGACGATTCATTTCATCTTGCGTTCCCGGCACGAAAACCCCCGCAGGTCAAAACAGGGAGTTCAAACTATCTGTCGGTGCTAACCTTTCAGCTGTTAAGTGATGAGACTGTAGTGTGAGATTGCTACTTAAATACGCTGTTCGCTGGCTTACGTTACTGGCGTGAGAGAAGAAGTGCCAATGGAAAAGTATAAGGAAGTATTGTCTACACAAACAGGGCGAACTGCAGTCAACCCGGCTAACTATGCAAAACTCCTGGAGCAAAAAAGCTCCTGATTTGGGCGCAATGGTTATCACCAATGTGTCCTGACGGAAGGGGGTGGGGTGGGGAGCCGCATGTGAGAGTGAGAATCGACACGAGCACGAGTGCACAAGTGGGCCGCATGTCACAGAATGTGTGCTGGACTCATCAAAAAAGACAACAGACTACTGGTTTGTGGGATCGCCTATTACAGAGCGCATCTCAGACGAGAGAGCGTGTCTTAGTCTCCAGACCGAAATTGACGTCCCCCCTCCCAGGTGCAAATGGGTCGTGCCACCGTTACGCATCCCCCTACCCCTAACGGAGACCACATTGAGACACGGTATGTGCCCATCAGGTTGCGCAGTCTTCCTGGGCTCTCATCTGCTGCCGTACATGCGCATGCGGCCCGCACGGCCCATGCCACGCCACTCAACGAGCCCAATCTCATCATCCTGATTAACGTAACTTTATTGTGCTCTCACTTGTGTGTGACCCAAGCCCCCCGCCCAGCCCGCAAAGGGAGCCCAGCACGCGTGTGGTACGAGTAGACGGGTCGTTTAGCTTTGTCAGCCACTGCGCCCGAGTCTATCTTGCCATTGAAAAATGGCTGCTGCTAAGGCAGTGAGACAGATGCTTCTCAAGTGCGCGCTTAACTGCAATACACCTCTTCACGCGTATGTCACAACTAGGACGCTGTGTGATGTTCATCACCACTACCAACAGAGGAAGTATCAAATCGAAAATAGTCCTTTAAGTGTGTGTGTGCAAGCATAGGCATAGGATGCAAAAAGAAACCCCCAGACACTGACCTCATCGGAATGATCGACCTGGAAAAATGGGCGCAGATCTGGATCAGAGGACACATCGGTCAGGTTGCCCGGTCCAACCAGAGACCAGCTGAGGGAGGGGTAAATGGCGTAGTCGTCACGCCAGACTGCACGAAGACGGTCCTTAAAGCTGACTTCTACCGCAGATGAATCACAGAGTCTGGGGCAAAAGATGGCCCGAGGTGTGAGCGTCACCACCGGTATGGCTGAAGCGTTAAAAAGGGGCGGAGTGTAGGGGTTGGCAAAGGCGAACTCTTAAATAAACGACGAGGAATGCCCTAAAGTCCTAAAAAAGTGAGGTTCACAAACAGGCCAAAAAAGGCGCTGAGCGGAATTCGCCAAAGGGAGCTAGTCACAGGGTTCGAACCTTCGGTTGATCAAGTCGGGGTTAAGAAATGCAAAAGAACGGGAGTCAGCCATCCATCCGCACCCCCCCGGATCTTAAAATGTGCATGGTTATGCAGGTACAACAGTGGGCGGCAGTGTTTAAAAGGAATCCAGAAATTGGCGGACTTTTGGAATTCCTTAACTGAAAAAGAGGCCAAGAGTGACAGTAAATGAGCCGGCGGCCGTCGAGGGACCTCTGCGTGGACGCCCATTATTGGCTGGTTACAGCCGCCCGGTCCAGTGATTGTCCCCCGGTCCAAGACGGAGAGTTGTTGTGGTTTTGGAATTTTAATGATTGTGTTGCCAGTTGCACAACTTAGCGAGACACCAGGTTAGACGAGCAAACTGACTGCAAAGAGGCAATCAGCAAGAAGGCTGTAGCGTGCGACGGCGAGGACGTCCTTCTCTCGACCAATCACAGGGTCCTCTCAGCTATCAGCTGCGTGCCATCACCACTACCTGGTAGTTGGTTAATAACGGTCCAACCAACCCCCATCCCTCCCCCCCACACAGACACAGGCCCTAAAAGCGCTTTTTTGTCAAGTAGAACGTCCGCTCTGCGAATTTGTTTTCTTTCACTGACAAGGAAGTGCCGGCGCTGTCAAAACTGTGGACCTAATCAATTTCATCCACCACGTCGAGCCGAGAAACGCAATGCTGCAAGTCATGCCGGAACCGGTCAAAACCCGTAGATGCGCGCTCCGAATGGAAATGCCGGACAAATACATGGCAAGCAGCGTCCTGGTGAAAATAGATGATTGGCAGAAAAGCCGGTAACAGGCTACCGCACAATCTTCGCCATGGTTTTCGGGCAAAGTTGTGATAAAATGACAAATTTTGTGCTAAGGGGACCACCTTCCCTTGCAATTACGAATGCTTCGGGTAGGGGGATTATTTGGGTATAGTGAAGGATATCTAATCCACATACAGTCGGCTGCCAATCTTATTAGATGTCAACTGAAATTCTAAAAAGCGTTTTAGACTAGAAAGGATTACTTAAGCGGGCATGTGATATTGGTCATCGTGCAACATAATCCCGTCATGTCAAGATACCGGCTTTTGAAGGTGCTTCTTTTCGGCCGCCTGCAAAAACCACATTCAGTGAAAAATGGCGGCTTATGTAACATGCAGGGTTTACCCACTGATGTTCTGTCATGACTTCTTCAAATTTTGCCCTCAAGGAAGGGATTTCTTTCGGTTTAAAGAGTTTTTCGGCTCCCAAACAGTTTCAACTCCTATCTGCCGATGCGCTTGCGTTAAGGATTTGGTCTAAGAGCCGTCTCATACGGGCAGACGCGGTGCTATTTGAATCGACATCTTATGGGCTTAAAGAATTCCATAATTTAGTATAGCTTTAATATTTAATATTTTTTAATACACAGATATGCCTGCCCTTCGAGTACAACATTTGAAGAAGACGTGATTTTCTACCAAGTAAATACAAGGATATTCTTCGCACATGCTTTCCATGAACTATGCTTGAATTTATAACGGCATCGAAAGTAAATGGAAAAGGGCACGCTAATTAAGTAGTTATTTGTACTGCGTGGCATTTTTTGCAGACGACCAAAAGGAAGCGCGTTCAAGAGCCGCCATCCTGCCGTAACTGAGATATCACAGGATTATGCCGCAAGATAATCAATATTACAACTCCAATGGCAGAGGGGCGCTCAGTGATCGTGTTACGAAGCTCACTCGTCCCGATCTGCCCTAGGGCTCTCTCTCTCTCTCTCTCCGGCCCAGCGGGAAGAGTGAGCTCCGTAACACGATCGGTGAGCGCTCCCCTCTACCACTGTATATTCCCGATCGTAACCGACAGGACGACGAGCCCATGGCTCAGTGGTCAGGTGCGTTGGGCTTCTAACCAACCGGTTGCGCGAACGAGCCTCAGGTGTTCTACACTTCGGAGCTGGGTATGACTGGCTGAGGACAGCTAATAAGCCAGAAATGGCCGTTCTAGTCTCCTTTGTCTTTTTAGGTAGTCATTCCAACTCTGCCAAAATAATCCTTCTTAACCGGAAACGCATTTCAGAATTTCGGTTAACATTCCATAAGATTGGTCAGTGACTGTAGGATTAGCGCTTGAGCATACTCGAGTCGACGGCTTTATGACTTACTAACTCACAAGGGGAGTTTCCAGAAAGGTGCGTATTTGCCCAAAAACCGAAAGAAATGTAAATATTAACGCCCAATATCCAGGAAGATGTAAAGTGACCTCGTAGAGAATCGCACTGGCAAAAGTGTTCTTTTTAACCAAAACCTATGCGAGTGGGTTGAAGAGTCGTCAGTGATCACAAGAAGCCTTAATGCAAACTTCGTCCGCCTACGGTACTGACTTGAAACGTCCTTCTTCAGTGCCACACTAGAAGACTGTCTCATTCAATGCTGAGAGTTGACTGAAAAAAAATATTCTTACGAAAGACTCGGATGACGATGTCGGTGTACTGCACGCCCCACCGATTTCTGGCCCGCAGGAGAAGACGAAAGTCACCATCTGCAAGCGAACAGTTGTGCCTGTGGAAGACGACAACTCGTCTACCTTCTTCATCCCCCTCCTCCACAAAAGTCCTCACGAAAGGGTCGTGAAGGAAATCCAGATGCCTCCGCTGACCTGTCCGCAAACTCTGTAGTTCCGCGGAAACCTGCAAGTCCTTGGCGACGGGTGTCACCTCGCAGCGCACTTCAATGGAAGAACCCTCGGCAACCAGAAGGGCGGATCCTCGAGAGACGGGGGTGCAGAACAACCTCACCGGACGCCGGACTCGGACCAGAGCAGTAAAGTGAAGCGAACCCACGGGTTCCCGACGACTGCTCACAAAGGAGGAGACGAGCAGTTGATAAGTACCCGCCACCCCTTGCAGCCCAGACAAACAACAGACGGAGACGGGGGCCGGGAATGGAAAGAACAGGGGGTAGGCGAAGGCTTCCTGAAGCTGCGTGAATTGGAGCACGCTACCATTACGCAGCCAGGTGTACTTCGGTCGCCCTCGGGCCACCCTGTAAAGGAAAAGGAGATAAAAGTCTGCCGCGGCAGCAGCTGGCGGGGGACCACCCTCGAGGAGGGCATACTCCTTTCGGGTGGGGGAAAGGGCACTCAAAGCGGTTCTGGCGGTGTCTCCGCTGATTGGTTCACTCTGCATCGCCGGGGCGCCCAAACCCCGCCTGATGATGGAGCCGCGGGCCTCAGCAGCGAAGATCCGTAGTGCCTTCCTCGTCCTGGTGGACAAGCAGACGACGGCTGAGTTAGGCTCAACTTCAAACAGAGCCAGATGTCCCTCGGGGCTGAGGATGGCCCCATCGTTGGGCAGCGTCAGGGGGACCGCAGAGGCGGCACAGGCTGTCACATTGATACCCCCCTCACCAACCCGACAGAAGCCCCACTGGAAGGGGGCCAATCGCAGCCACAGGGTAGTCATCCAAGCGGGCCAATCGTTGGTTAAAAAGTCTCCACAAGTGAAGAAGTAGGGAGGCTCAGTCTCATTAACAGCAACAATCTCCGTCGAGTTGGTCGTCGTCGGCGGCATTAGACGATAGACAAAATGCCCGGCGTCACGCAGGAGAAGAGGAGCCGACTCGAGGACGGAGTGAGCATCGGAAAGACGACAGGAGATGGTATAACTGTACCCGGACTTGCGCTGAAAGACCGGGTTCATGGTGAGGTTGAGTATAACACCGGTAGTGAGTTGGTAGGAGTAGTTGAGTGCGTCTGGGAGATCGGGGCAGATACTGAGACCACCCTGACGAGGAGAGCCTGTGGCCACTAGATCATGGCAAGCTGGCGGGAGACCATGGTGTCCACAACAGAACTCTATGCTCCTCAGAAGCCCTACGCGGTAGTTTGAGAAACAAGAGAAGGTAAGGGACAAGCGGGGATCAATGTCCAGTATGTAGATACTGCGTGAACTGTTTTGGCTGGCGTCCAAGTGGACGGACGGGTTTTGTGCAGACAGATAGAGGTTGGAGTCCTGACTTGCACCGGAAATTGCTGTGAACCGGAGGTACTTCGACGAGTGGGCTGCAGTGGAAGAGGAGAAAAAAGATCAACCAGCGAGGATAGGTCGCAACGCAGCCGACACGCATAGGGGTGTGAGTGGCTGGTCGCACGTGCGTGCGTGAGGGACAATCTAGTCGGGACAAATAATCAAGCATCTGGTGCGGACAAGACGTCTACTACGGCGGGCGGGTAAATTTTTCGCAGAATTAAAAAACTGCAACAACGTCGGTATCTTCAAGGGCGGACATAAAAAAACAGTGGAATGACAATTCTAGAAAAATTTCAACCAGAAAAGTAACCAAGGTCTTCCCCGGAGGTAGGTCAGGGTCTGCACTAAGTGCTGGAAGGACTTCGGCATAATAAAACCAAGCCTAGGGGTGTTCTCGAAGAAAAGTCGACAAGGAGCCAAACATCTCTAAGTGCTTCCAAGCTTAACAAACATATGCAAATCGGCCGTCTATACATGCATGTGGAATGAGGCATAGCTACCTGTCGATCAGGGGAGCACGCGAAGAGTGGCGAATCACATGAGAGCGTCTCCACGGCTCGATCGTAAACATCGAAGGTTCTAGGGATGAGATCCACACTCTAGGCCTGCATCCACTGGTAACACTTACCTTCAGATATCTTGATCAAAAAGGCCGGCCTTGCAGTCGTAGGCCAGTATTGGTGCGTCATTGCAGCCTCAAATGGGCTAGGGAAATGCAAATAGGATTTAAAATGAACCCGCTAGACAGTGCGCGCAATGCAAACACCCACGCGGCCATGACACGTTATCCACGCAAGTAGCCCTACCACGGACGGCAGTCCTGAGACCAGTTTACTGTTCTTCCAGAGTTGCGCAGGACTAACTCGAGAGGGAAACACATCACGGGCGTCAATTGGAACCGCCGTGCCCAGTGGCGTGGCCTGGGGCTCAGCTGTTTATGCGTGTGCGTAAGTGAATTGCAGCAATCCCCCCCCCCCCCGGCAGATCGCCAGTTGACCTTCCTTTCGCGTCAAAACAGGCATGAGTTCTCTCGCCGCGTCGCGCTAAGCGTCTGTCGTGCACACACCACTGGCCTGGACAAGACGACCGTTGGAGCGGTCGCATTGCTCTCACACCTGATTGGCTGCCTAGCAGGGGAAAAAATGGCGCTGTCGGATTGCTTTCTCCTGCGGCTGCTGCTGTTCCGCAGCCCTGCAGAGGACATTGCGTAGTAAACGGCGAGTCTGTGATTGACGGTTCCCTTTCGAGAGGGAGAATCATCGAAGCGCAGAGGCGTCGCAGTGGTCCCCGTGAAAGGTTGCGTACCAGTCTTTTTTTACCTACAAAACGGCACGAAATAGTGAATTTTAAGCTGTGCGGAAATTATTGTTACAATCCTGGGACGTTAGCAGCCTCAAATGATCCGCCTACAGAGACGGGCAGACATCCATCTCACAGGAGACGTTCAGAGAAAAAAAGTCTGCAACCACGGGGAACTCAACTCACGTAGAAACTTAGTCAATGGTTCAGAAGCTGCGGCGACAAAAAAACCGGTTGGGGAAAATTTCAAGGATGCAGCAACCGGTCACCTGCACGAACACTATTAAAACTAGCAATTCTACGACAATCACCTTGGGAGTTGAGGAAGTACCTTCATTCTCAATACTGACCTGAGTCCCACTCAATCTTCTGGATTTACATCTGAAGCGAGAACTTCTTTTCAGAAATCAGTGTAGATTGCAGAAAAACCATGGAGCCCATCGATGTGATCTTCCAAGCCTGCCCAGAATCCAGCCCACGCTGTACCCCGAGAGTCGCAGCCCAGCGGCCAATAGGTGCACGAGTTGAGAGATGATGGAAGGTGGCAATATACAAGTGTGAATCAGCCCTGGATTCCAGAAGAACTGTAGAACCATCGACATGATTTTCGCAGAGCACAAACTACAGACCGAAGCGCAAACCGAACTCTACACCATCTTCCTTCATTTGATGAAGGTCTACGATGCGGTCAACCGCGATGGGCTCTGGAAAAAATGATGCTGAAATTTGGATGTCCACGACATTTTACACAAACGGTGCGGCAACTCCATGGCGGAATGATGGCACGCGTCACAGACGGCCCCGGAAGCATTTGCAGTGACAAACGAGATGAGGTGGGGTTGCGTTCTTTCTCCTGACCTTTTCAGCCGTACAGATGAAAGCCTATCATGGAGGACCGTCGGGAATAAGCATTAATTACCAGAACGGCGTGAAACTATTGAACATACTATGTACAGTAGGTGGGTTAACTCGTGAAATCTTAACAGAAATTCCGAATTGCGTTTTCGGTTCGAAAAGATTGATTAAGTAGGGTTGTAAAACTAATTATCATGCAGCATAATTCTATAATAATCCAGTTACCCCGGGACGCTGGCTTTCGAACAAACATCTTTTTGGCCGCATCCAAAAACCATAATCTGTAAAAAGTGACTACTTAAGTAGCATGCATTTTTTCATTGGTTTCCGATGCCCTTAAAGGTTCAATTATACTTCATTGAAAACACGCATAAAAATATTCATCCTTTTGCTGATTCAGCAGAAAATTACGTCTTCTTTCAATTTTTTACTCGAAGGAAGGGTATAATTTGGTTTTATAAAATTTTCCAATTCCCGAATAATTTTGAACCTGACCTGCCGTTACACTTGCATTCAGGATTCGCAAACTACAAGCCGTATAATTTCCGCTTACGGAAAACCATACACTTCTCTACCGTATTAAGAGGAGACCATATGGTGTTCATAAAATTAAGCAGTGGATTTTAACCACATTGCTACCTTTAGAAGCCACATTGGTAAATGCAGAGACATGGCGTTTAATGAAGGGCCATTTCACGGTATTAAAAATCTCATAATTAGAAACTTGTTAAAACCGAATTATATCCTTCCTTCCAGTGTAAAATTGAAAGAAGACGTAATTTTCTACTGAATCAGCAAAAGAATGAATATTCTTAATGCATGTTTTCTATGAAATATAATTAAATCTTTAAGGGCATCGAAAATCAATGAAAAAATGCATGCCACTTAAGTAGTCATGTTTTGCAGAGTATGGTTTTTGGGTGCGGCCAAAAAGACGTTTGTTCGAAAGCCAGCGTCCTGGGGTGACTGAATTATTATAGAATTATGCCGTATGATGATTAGTTTTACAACCCTACTTATTTAATCTTTTTTGAAACAGGAACGCAATTCGAAACTTCTGTTGAGATTTCATGAGTTAGCCCACCTATTGTATGCAGGCAACGACAAGAGTTCTGAGAGCCAGTGTCGACGAAATCCTATTCGTCCTATTCCATTCGCGCAACGAAAATGGACATGCGCGACGGTGAGTGGACCCCTCTACCTCTGGCTGCACAGCTCTCGGGCTGATCATGAGCATGGAATAAATTTAGATCCCAGAAATCACCAGTAAGCCAGAGCCGCCTTGATTCCTTCCCTAATATGCGACTGAAAATGCATAGGACTGCCGATAAAAGTGAGGATACGAGTTCAGGAGGTTAGGGTCAGGTTCCACAACCAGTAGTAATTCCACAGAGCCGGAGCGGCAAACAATAGTGAGCTGAAGGAGAAGACGTTGGTGGCGCCCGAAAACGCCGCCGAATGGTAGGCCCCCTGCGCTGAGCAACTCCCTTCGCGATGTGAATGGCGGTTTTATTGCGGACCAGGCAGCCAACCCCGGGGATTAGTGTAAACACTTCGAAAAAATGGCCAATGCAATGCGAAGGCTGCACAGCAACACCATGAGATGACGGTGGTCTCACTGAAAAGTACAAGTCCTTTGTCGACGCTCTGACGACCTGGTCCCACTAGGTGATTGAGCAAGCATGGGGGGGGGGGGTGAAGTTCCTACGCCGGAAGGCCTGTGCTCGGTTAGCATCAACGCAAGACGAAAATGACATAAGAAAGCAATGCTATTAATCGCAGTCAACACGTAACAGCCGAAGGCTTCATTCGCTCCTACCGCCAAGGGTATTATCCGTCGGGTCTGGAATGGAGGCCGGTATGCAATAAGCGCTGGTGTAATAAACGGAAATTGTTTGGTATTCATGGGCACCAGACGAGGATGTGGACTGTTTGCAACAACATGGGATTATACTGACGGGGACAGGGTGCAGCAGGTGCTTTTCAAAAGAAGACCCCGCCCCCTTACCAGCAACAACAACTCGCCTGAGAGGTGTCATGGCCGGACAAACGCTCCTTGATGGCTATGGCCACCCACCAACTGCAGTACCACGGCAGGTACGAACGAGCCGATTTCATCATCTCTCTGAAAACTGCAAGTCTTGTGTAGACGCTCTGGTTCCACGAGGGGACTGAGCAAGCATGGGGAGGTGAGGTTGCTACGCCGGTTCGGTTAGCATCAACGCAAGACGAAAATAGCATGAGGAAGCAATGTTATTAATCGCATTCAATACGTAACAGACGAAGGCTTCATTCGCTTCTACCGTCATGGGTATTATCCATACGGTCTGGGATGGAAACCTGTATGCAATAGGCGCTGGTGTAAGAAACGGTCGCCCACCAACTTCAGTACCACGGCAGTTACGAACGAGCCGGTTTCAGCATCCTGGGCTTCGGCCCAAGCTTGCGCAAGAATAGAGGGATAAAAAGAGTGGTCAAAAATGTCCAGCCTGGCACTCACCAGATTCCTGCTTCACCGACTCCGGCACGAAGCGCCGAAGAGCGGTGAACGCATTCGCGACAGCTGGCAAGGAGGTGGCGAGCGGGAACTCCAGAGAGGAGTCGAAGATGAGGTGTTTGTCCTGCAACCGTGCTGACTGCAGATGAGGTGGGGCCTGGAAGGAGACGCTGGCATCCCTCAGGTGGAGCCGGACGCGACATTCCAGATGCAGAGCCAGTGGACGCTGTCGCGTTTCCAGAGCCATCGCCTCCTCAAGGGTGAGCGGAAGACTTTGATTTTCCATACCCACTCCAGCATCGCCGGCCCCCTTACGTTCGGAGTTAGAGGTCGGGAAGGGACGTGCCGGAGACACTGTCAAGGAGGTCTAAGAGGAAGAAGAGGAGGAGGGAAACATGAGAAGAGAAGTCGGAAAGAGAGACGAGGAAAAGAAAAGGGAGAGCGATAGGACCCACCAGGTTTGTGGGATCGAACATGAAGTAGGTGGAAAGCGAGGCGGTCGAGTTGGCCAGGCTATCTAATGTCCACTGGCGGTTAATAAGCCAGTCCTGCTTGACTGTGATGTTATATCTGTGGTTCAGGCGTTTCACATAACTCTCCTCCAGCACACAGGGGACAGTGAAGGGTTCTGTGCCACAGTCGGAGGCCACACAAGAGGCGATGGCGGGCGCTTGACTGAGAACTGGTTTCGCTGAAAGAGGAGGGAACCAACCAGTGACAGTGATGCAACGAGGCAATATAAACACAAGTTATGGCCAACCAACTGACGCCGGTTACCTGCTCCGAGTCTATTAAAAAGAATTTGGGACGTGCAGGGATGAGAGAGAGAAAGCTTCGTTTTGAAACTATCATTTTCAAAATTTCTAAGAAAAAGTTCTACATTGACCGTGACCAAGATACAGATAAATAAATGACGAGAGGGTAGGTATGTGTTTATACAAAAACTGCATGACCGCTATGGGGACAACTAAGATCACACTTTCTGGACTTCTGTCTCTTTGGTAAAGGGGAAAGTTGATGGGGTGATGTACGGTAGGAGATACGGCGGATGCTATGATACGTGGAGGAGAGGGGGGAGGGAGGACTTCGCAGCAATTAGGAGGATGAAGAACGTCATGAAGAATTCGACCAGAACGACGTTGCTTGGTCATTGTGAAATGTCGTTGTACTATGATATGGAGCAAAGAGACATAAGAAAACATATGGACGACACATCCTAAAGTGGGCATACCTTCCATAAGCAAAGCTGGAAAAAGTGCAGAACGATGAAGGAGGAGAGGAAGAAAGTAGGTACGTAGACATGTTGGACGGTGGCTTCTTGCTACCGTCAACTAATGTGTCCATTGTCAGCCCTACGAGGGCAAGTCGGCGTCGCCATTGACGACGTTCGCCGCATGCTCGAGAGAATGTGCGTGCAGCACTGTCGACTTGCGCAACATCTATTGCACTCCCTCTCTTCCCTCATCCACACAGTTTCAGTGACAGAACAGTGGCAGGACGACCAGGGATTGACAAAACTAAACGACCCGTCTACGCGTACCACACACGACCTGGTCCCCGCAGAATGCGCCAGACTTTTATAAGGGAGACTGAGATCCCACCTAAGTGGGAGTGGCATAAGGGCCACATTGGGGGGGAGCTACTGAGTCAGACTCACGGTCCTGACAGAACCGAGTTAGCTTGTCAGCTGGCAGTCTCCCGAGTCATTACTGGTGTCGCATCTAGGTAGATCCAGGCGCGTTAGAGTTATCATTAATGAGGAGTGCGATGATGTGTTGTGAGGATGGATTACCCAGTGTCAATCGCACTCCCTCTTTCCGCTTTCGAGCACCAGTCGGCTGTCTGGGACCGTTGGCTGTCTGGTGCTGGGATTTGGCGCAATGGCTGGCGCGGCCGTAGTTGTCGGCTCGCGCGAACTCCGCCCAGCCTGATTAGCGCCTGCTGTCACCCAATTTGCCGTTTCCCCCCCCCCCCCAGACTGGTCCAGCGCGTCTACGGCGCAATTCGTTGAGGGAGCCAAAACAAGCACAGACTATACCACAAGAACATAGTGCACGGTCGGCCAGAAATGGATCCAAACCGGGCGATCAGTGAGGGCGACAGCGTTGTCCGTCTGGATGGCCGTATGCTAAAAGGGGACGCCGTACCCAGGATACTGACAGCGTCCCAAAGGTGCTACAATGTACTTACTCTAGACTGACCAATGTCTCTTGTAGATGATCTTGAATACTCTCATTTGCCTGTCCTAGCGTAGCGCCTGCTTGGCTAAGTTTCCATCGTCGCTAAACAACACACCCTCTCCCACCGCATCCTAAGTGGGTGAGTGGGCAGAAGAATCAAGGGCCTTCCTGTGCTCTTTCATGGCGGGCTTTCGAAATGGAGTTGCGATATTTCCCCCTGAATTCAACCCCGAAGATCCTTTTGGCTAAACCCAGAAAACTAATCAATAGGTCAACAGGGACCGCATTTCCACTTTCGATTATTCGTGCTAGTATAATGATGCAACGTGTAAGCTACCCACCTACCACCTTGACGGAAATGAGGACTTGGTGCAAGTCGGTCACTTCTACACTAAATAATCCTTTTTCGCTTAAGTCGTAATATGGTATTTTTCAGATTTTTCTGGCATAAAGACAGAGACGGGGTGGAAGGCGCTTACCTACAAGACTGGGTGGAAGCGGGAGGGGGAGTGAGGGACAGTGTGCGGAGAGATAAGAGTGATCAGAAGAAGAAGAGGAAGCAATCGCCGGAACAAGGACTTTATTCGCCCGACGTTTCGGATTTTCACTTGAACCCATCATCGGAGGCAGTGGCAGAAAAGGGTAACTCGTGCACAGGAAGTTGCAGTATTTATAGGATGCAGTCGCTATGCTACCGCATACCTATGGTAATCAATCGCGCTCCCCTTCATCAGGGATTGTTGCCCGCTGGTGCAGGAATGTTGACGGGCATATTGGAAAGATCGAAGGCATGCCAGAATTGCCACTGAATATCACTGTTGGTACGTGAATCCTGACTCTAAAACGGGACAGGCAGTAGATGCGTTGGACCAACACGGGGACTAGATCGGTGTCCGGCAGGCGTCATCGGGAATGTGCGCCCATAACAAACGCAAACATTAGGGGTGTAGTGGCACGCCCAGGTGCAGACTCGCGCCGCGCTAATTGGGATCTGAGCCACCCCTTCTTCTGCTTCTGCTGCATAAAATCCTGGTCAAGTGGGGTAGACGGGCGCGCCTACATTACGCGCCGCCGTGCAGCTGCTGACGGGGATCGGGAGAGAGCCCCATGGCACAACAGGACGAGTGAATTCCGTAACACGATCGGCGCGCGCCCCTCCACCACTGCTCGGAATGTCCACATGCCCAAGAAGAGTCAGTCAATCTCGCCGGAACACACGTAGGTGCGTCCTAAATACATGCCAACAGCACGCTCTCGACAGTGTATCGCCATTGGCTACGGCCACAGTGCTACCTTGGGACCTGACTGGTTCATGTCTGCGAGGAGACGCCGGGCACTTCTAGTCTCTTCTTTTTGAAGCGGATTGGATAGAAGTCTTGACAAACTGAACAGGATGCTATAAATATAGGCAGTTTTTATTTCTAAATGAGAGCGACTTGCAGGCTTTAATACATCTCGTCATGGCCTCCTGTTGGTGGCTGGGAGAACAGTTGAGCCCACATACGGTTCGTGTTATTAATGAGTACCAAGTCGGGTCGTAACAAATACCGCAACAAGTTGCTGATGATCCCCACACAGAACGCACAAAGTGGGCACATAAAAACCTTAGAAAAATGTTCTTGCATCGCTACCCGTAAAGAACATGGACAAGTGCACAAACGCTCCACGGACGTGTAATGTAAGAAATGTATAATTGTTAATGCACTTGTAAAAGTCCATTAACAAGTTCAACGACCTTCCCCTTCCATACCCAGTGCTGAGACTTCGCCTAGGCGGAGTAATTGGCCACGCGGGGAGCGCACAGGCGAACACTGCTCCCAACGCCAGGGTCGGTGGGTCGGATGGTCGAGCAATAATCACATCAACATCCAACGCACGTGATGAAATTGCGGCAATTTACGACGCGAATGTCGGCAATCAAACAGTCATCACATCGAGTGCAATGATCGCTGATGAAGGAGGGAGCCTTGGATATTCATAGGTTTGCGGTAACATGGCGACTGCATCCTATAAATACTGCAGCCCTTGTGCACGGATCATCCGAATCTGCATTTGCCTCTGATGATGAGTTCGAGTAGGAATCCAAAACGTCAGGCGAATAAGGCTATTGTCCCAGCGATCGGGACTCCTTCTTCACGAGTGTATACATCCATCGCCGCCGAAAATCCCTCCAACATTTCCAGGGGGATGGGGACAGTGAAACGGAATTTTATGAGTCACTTGACGATATCGATGGTTGTGGAGTGGAGGATTTTCGCAAAGGTTTCCTTACGAACCAAAAAAATAAACCTTATCTGTCAACATAGTTTGATTGAATGCTAGGGAACCCACTGACGAGCCGAACCCCTCGCAGCTGCGTCATGCAGCGGCAGAATATCGGCGAAACAGGCATGTATGGGCTTTTGGCTAATACTTGTGCTGTTAGTATGGTATCACTTTACCCCAAAGTATACTACTAGCTGCCTGTCGGCATCTAATGAATATGACGCAGTTACCCGCTGTGGCTGATGGACTTCGGCTCAAATATTCATACATAAAATTCTCGGTCCGATACTTTAGACTTTGAATAAACTGGTCTATTCCATGTTCGTGGTTAATTACTGGGGAAATTAAAAAGCGACAATTTCTAAATTGGAGTATCTACCAGAAAGCAGACAGGGAATGCTGGGGGAGGACCCACTGACGAGCCGAACCCCATGGCAGCTGCGCCATGCAGCGGCAGAATATCAGCGAAACACGTGCGCATGCCCTTCTGGTTAGTGTCTGTGCTGTTAATATGGTATCACCTCACCCTAATGAATAAACTCAATTTAATGACATAAGACGGCATTGGCACTCCTACCCCCTCCCCCCCGGAATTAATTCAGGGGAAGAAGCAGCAGCAGAAGGAGAAGGCCGGGCGGCTTTGTGACATTTCCGTCACCTACCCAAGTCGATACAAGGTGGAGCGCTGACCGCACAGAGACTTGTCGCGCCCAGGCGTGAAGTTACGCGACCACGCCCAACGGGAAGGCAACGGACTGTAACACATGCGGTAAGCAGCAAACCGGCGGCCATAAAAGTCAGAACTAAGTCCTGGCTGGGGGCGGGAAGAGGAGAGTGTCACGCAGACGCCCAGGCAAAGGTCGAATCCCACTAACGACTGCACATACGAACACGGAACGCAAGAAGGCAGATATTCAACAGTTTCGTCATTTTCTGTGGATAAACCCCTTCTTCGTCTTCTCCTTCTCGTGAACCATTAGAGTTTATAATACAAACAGATCAAGCAGCATATAATCGGAACTAAAGCCCAGTTCACGCGTTCTAGACTGATTTAACAAGAAGAAGCGGAAGCTGGCATAAGCAGGACGTGGAATGTTTCGCCATTTTTTTATATTTGGCAGTTCTTCGAAGTACGTTTGCATGTATCATCTTTTTACGAGATTAATTCGAAAACGAACAAAACCTCTCATAGCGGCCTGTGACTGTAGTTAGAAAGGATTCTTAACCAGCGGGGTGAGATCACCTCATGCAGTCCTTCGGCACATTGTAACATTTGAATCTGAGCGGGTCGTTATTTTGTTGTGATCTCTGCAGCGGTTGTGATGAAGGTGAAAGACAGTTAAATGTTTATATAAATAGCCCCAACATCTGCCTTTTGGAAATGGTTGGCTCCAGGAACCAAGGTCGCTTCCTTAAGAGTCAGGGAGTCTGCAAAAGAACAGAGTCGAGAAGAATGGCTGCCAACCTAGGCGCAGGTGCCTGCCCGCAGGCTTGAAGACTCGATGCGGTATTGGGGCGAAGACATACCAGCTGGGCCACTATAAGCGATGAGGACTACGGCTGTCCGGTAGAGAGCGCAGTCGTGGCTTGCACTGCGTCAACGGCCAGTTCTGGGTGAAAGTGGTGGCTGAATTCGTGTCCTCACATACCGACGACGACGACGACGACAGTCCGACTGTTGTGCTCCAAAGCAGGCTGAGAACAGGGACGGTGACTTACGCGTGAGTTAGTTTAAGGCGATGGTTGACTTGCGTCGCTTCTATACGCTCTCTTCCCCTCCTTCCTCACCCTGACCCGGTGTCAAGACAAAGTCACAAAGACCGGAGACGGGAGAGAACGCATGCGGCTGGCGTGGCGAAAACCCGTGCCTAGGCGTACCATCACAGCCCTGGTCCACGACAAACCACTGACCTGCACAGCAGGAGGAAAAGAGGGGGATGGCTCAGATTCCAATTGGCGCGGCGCGAGCAGCACGCTTGCCGGACCCCGATCTAGTTCCTGTGCTGGTCCAGCGTATCTACAGCGTGGTCCGTTTTGGGGGCACAACACATGACGACGACGACGACGACGACAAAAGTCCGACCGTCGTGCTCCACAGCAGGGTGAAGCAGGCACGGTGACTTGCGCGTGAGTAGTCTGTAGGTAAGTGTAGACTTGTGCAACATCTGCCGCACGCTCTCCTCCTCCTCATCAAAACCCGGCGTCAGGACGTAGTTAAGAAGATCGGAGGTGATGGCGGCGCAGGTGTCCAGCACGACCGGATCCGCACCTATGCGCACTATTACACCCCTTGGTCCACAGCAAACACTTCACCAGGATTTTAACCAACAACAATAGCACCAAAACGGGTCAGAAAGACTAGGATAACTTGGCAGCCATGTTCACGATCTCTATTGCCCGCGGGACTGCAAACGTATTTACCGGCAGGGGACCAGATGTCGGTGAACTGCCAGCGCCTACCCGGCTGCGAGGGCCATGGTTTGCTGATCCTGGTATAGCAGACGCGGATGCGTTTTTTTCATGCAGAGCCGGCCGATCTGACTGGAGACGAGGTCGGACGCATCAACTGACATGGTATAACGCGGCCTGCACGTCCGCCGGTCGAAAATACATGCGGGCCGCATTAAGGACACATGGAGTCATTACAGTACATTCTCAGTCTGGAGGACTGACTTATCCAGTAAGCAAACGACTTTCCAGGCTATCAATCCTAGAACACCGTGACAACTTAGGAGCGCGTCAGATCTGCTGTAGTGAGGGCACGCGCGGAAGGCGCGTTTGTTCATCAGTCATCAGTATCATCATCAGTATATTTCAGGGAAAGTAGGTGTGTACCTTTGAAATCCATATTGGTTACACTTCACTTCCACTGAAATCAAATGATGTACCAACAGGACGTCAGAGAGAGGCTAACAGAAGACAAAGTTACTGGTATCTATTAATTAATCGTCGCAAATTACGACAGCCACTGAGTGCCCCACGGCGTAGGCACAGTATCGGTGCCTTGCGCGTAAATTACAGTAGGTGGGCTAACTCATGAAATGTCAACCGAAATTACGAAATGAGTTTTCGTCTCGAAAAGATTAATTGAGTCGGGTTGTAAATAATACGTTAGTTACCTCAGGATGCCGGCTTTCGAATTAACTTCGCTCCGGCTGTATGCAAAAACTAAACTTTATAAAAAATGACTACTTAAACGGCATGATTTTTTCTCATTGATTTTCGATGCCCCTAAAAGTCCAATCATATTTCATGGATAAAAAGCATAAAATATTCATTCTTTCGCTCATTCGGTAGATAACTACGTTTTCTTCCAATCTTATACTCGAAGGAGAAGTACGGAAAACAACACACTTCTCTACGGTAATAAAGGAGGAGTTTATGGGATCCACAAAATTTAGCAGTGAATTTGAGCCATCTTGTTAACTTTACAAACCGCACTGGTAAATGCAAAGACATGACGATTTATGAACGGCCTTTCACGGTATTTAAAGTCCCACAATTAGAAACTTTTTAAAATCCGAAATATGTCCCTTTTTCGAGTATAAAACTGGAAAAAGACGCAATTATCTACCGAATGAGCAAAGGAATTAATATTTTTATGTATGTTTTCCATGAAATATAATTGGACTTTTAGGGCATCGAAAATCAATGAGAAAACTTCATGCTACTTAAGTAGTCACTTTTTATGGTGTAGTTGTTGTATGCAGCAGTAGGGGAGTTCATTCGTAAGCTGGCATTCTGAGGTAAATAAAATATTATTAAATTATGTTGCAGGCTGACTAGTTCTACAACCCTACCTAATTAGTCCTTTCGAAACGAAAACGCATTTCGGAATTTCGGTTGACACTTCATGAGTTAGTCCACCTACTGTATGTAATTACAAGAATGCCGAGTGCAAAATTTATGCTACCCCTTCTGTTGCCGCCGCCGACGACGTGCCAGAGGCGTTTGCGGATACCTTATATCATAATAATCAGCAAAAGACGAACGAGCTGTTGGCAAAATAAAGCAGCCACACTGTATGTACCAAGCTTCTGTAGGAGCGCTTCGTAGCCTACATGCGTGAGAGTGCCATAAAGACCACACCAAGAAGGATCAAGTTGCGCTGTGAAGTGGCAACCTTATATGCCACGATCCTTAGAACCTTATGATGGATTTAAGCGCGTATGATCTGTTATTAGCTAGGAGTGGCCTGATTTGCCGCGGGAGTGAATTCCCCAGCGTCGGCTTCTCTTCCAGGCTCGCGTCCGAGCCAGACGAGAGGTGAAGCGCCCGGAGCGAATTCGTGGATCGGAAACCCGGCGCTGTCTGGCTGTGTGGTGTCTCTTTTCCTAAATGTCAGTCTTAACAATGTCCTAAAATTTACTCCCTCCTGCTTCTATTCTGGTCAACGTTTTACAGAAACGAGCCACCACACAGTTATGTACGACCATGTCTGACGTCTAATTAAGGAGAATCAAGCCTATCCCGCTGTTCTTTTTTGGAAAAAAACAGCTGTCCTTACAAGGTCGGCAACAAGCAAAATCGTACAACACCTCGCATTCGAGGGGCGTTCCTATGAAAAGAATGGGGATTGGAATAGTCTTTTTAGACTTATTGACAGCCATAAACCTGGCGTGAATAAGAGACGCTTAAGTCCGTTGTATCGGTTGACCCACAAGTCCACGCTCGGGAAGTCGCGCCAGAATGTGCTAATGTGCGCACTTCAGCCAGATACAAGTTTGTGTGAGGCTACATCGCACCATTTGGCTTGACCTGGACAGACCACATGTTTCCCAAATGTGGTGGAAGGAGAACCTTGACAGTTTCCGAAAACTTGAAGCTACCAAAAATGAAGTATCCTAAAGTATAAAGGTGGTAAATCACACAGCCAGGCTGCTTTACTCAAAGCTTGTGGAAAATTTTAGTTGTTGTGTGTAGGCCGATCATTGAACATTATAAAAATATGCACTGGGTTCAAACGGAAAACTCACCTATTACAAGAACTGTCCCCGATTGGTGTGATTCCCCGAACGCATTAAAGGCTCTGATGGTGAGGTGAAAGCTTTGGCCCAAAAGCAGGCTTTCAACACGGAAGTCCACACGTCCCTCATCCCCCTCTGTGGTCAGAATGGAGACTGTCCTCAAGTCGAGTTTGCTCATTGGTGGTTTCGCCAACCGGCGAATTTCCCTAGCAAGCTCTCTCAGTGTGCTGCCCTCACACCCGTTCACTCCGATTTTTACTCGGGCAGTGTCCAGTCCTTTTACTCGACAGAGTGTACTGAAGTAGCTGCCCTCAAAAACGTACGTCAGTTCGGGTATGCAGTCCGCGGTAAAGCGTGGTGGACCCACGACCACAATCTCTGTTCGCGACGTGAGATTTCGGCCGTCAGCCGATAGGATCCACTGTTCGTACACACCGGCCAGGCTTCTGTCAATATGCTGAGGCAGTTGTAGTGAGAAGTGGCTTCCTGTCACAGGAAGTCCATCCTTAAACCAGAGGATCCGACCCCCTGCAAGCCCAGGTACTTGTCGGTGGACTCCAAACAAGCGAAATGGGATTCGCAGGGTGGAACCCTCAAGGAGGACGTAACGTGCGTGTGCGGGTGGGACACGCGTAGGTGCTGGGGCCCTGTTGATTCTATCGTTGGTGGATGGAGAAACCCCAGGCACAAAGGAAAAACCCTCCAATAGGAGTGGGGGGCTAAGGTCAGTGGAGGCCCGTGCAGCATACGTGCTTACGGCAACCCTGCGCGGCGCGTATCGGCACATTAAGACGGCGTTGGGATGCCCACGGAGTGCCCGCCCCGAGGTGATATATAATGTGCTACTGGGAGAAACCAAGAACTCCTCGCCACTTCCATTAGCCGTATAGAGAGGGATGCCGGTTTTCGCGCAGACAGGTAGAGGCATAGGAGAGTCCGTTTTTGGATGACAGAAAACCCACTCAAAGAGGACTGTCTGGGACCAAACGGAGGTCATCCAAGGAGGCCAGGAGGGTACGGAGTCGGCAAGGTTACCACAAGGTAGAGCCAGTGGAAAATCCAGGGTGTCCAAAGCACGAGGCAGGAGGTGGATGGCCTGGGAACTGCCTTGGATGTCCAGATTTGCCGCATGAGCTAGGGCGTCTCGAAGTGTGAGCAAACCACTGCGGATGACCAGATGTTCGTCGGCATCAAAAGATGCGTGGAGGAGACAGTAGAACGTGGCGTCTCGCGCCCCATTGCTGCGGTCATCAAGGGGAGGAAGGAGCAGGGTAAAAAGGACGGAGGCATGCGAATAGTGCAGCTGCAGACCGTTAAATTCAACAGAATTATCTAGGCTTGTAACCTCGTGGCACCGGCTGTCCTCATCGTTGCCGACTGAACAACACAGTCTAAGATGCGTTGTAGCTCTAACGTTGTTGAGGGCGCGAAGACTGTTGGGTGAACACGAGAAGGAGATATTGTGGCTTGTATCTTCATAGGTGCCCGCAATGTAGACGTAGGAAGGCGTCTGGTGGAACATGTCAATTAAGATGCCAGGGTTGATATCCGTGAGAAAAATTTCTTCGGAGGCAGTCGAGAATGTGTCTTTGAGGTACAGAGGGAGGGAGGAGGAGAATAAAGAGGGAGGGGTTTGAGGAGAACAGTCATTAAGACATGTATTCCTTTAAATTATCAAATGCAAACGGTAAAGGCAATTAACCCACGTTATTTTACAACAAAATAAAGGTACCTTGTGCTTTCGATGTATCCCAGAGTAGCAGAAGGAAAACGAGGGATGCTGTGAAGGGGAGTTCCCCTGGGGCGCGTTTAGAACGCCTAGAAAGACAGAGGTGCAATAGAAAAAAGAGGAGAGTTCGCCGAACACCTTGAACACAATGCACGAAAAATTACGTCACCCCTACAAGAACTGGAATGATAGGAAATACTGATGGAGAAGCCTTGGCTTCTGAGGTCACCAATTTACTCATTCGATGCTCACAAATAAGTCAGCGAGAATTACTATGCTGCAAGTAACTAGAGTATACAATTTTCTCGTCGATAACAATTGCTCCAAAATAATTAAAAAATCGGGTATGGATTAAAATAAGCACGTCTGACTAGCATGCAGTTGTGAGCAACGGTCGGTTGACAGTTATGTCTTTCATATGAAAAATATGCAGACTCTAATCTGTATCCCCTCCGATATAATCATTTACAAAAAACGGACTGTTATCCACTCGCACAGGTCTCTGGCGATCAAGAAATGTTGATTTTTACGGTAAAATGTCACCTTTCCGGCTACCGTTAAGTACCCAGACACTATAAGACATCAACTTAAAGAAAAGAGACCTCCCAAATGCGTCACAACCACAAATATTTCGCATGGCAAAAAGGTATAAGTGAGAAAGTTTTGTTTCTGTTTGCCTAGATGACTGCGACCTCAACTTTCTCTCATCTGAATAAGAGATAAGGTGCTGGTGGTGTGAAAAAACGCTGGAACTCAATAACCGTGCATCGTGTAGGGATTTTTAAAGGCCGGTTGGTTATAAGGCTTACAGCGATGAATTTAGAACTGAGCAGCGAAAAGGTCCAAGCATTGATTAGCATGAGGCACAAGCGGTTCTTGTCGAATCGGACTATATAATTTGTGTAATTTCAAGAATTTCGACTGCGGATTTTATGATATCCCTTCTGTTGCCACCAGAGACGTGCTAGAGGCGTTTGCGGATATGACATAGGGCATACCCTATGTCATAATAATCAACAAAAGACGAACGAGCCGCTTAAATTTCCTGAGGACCAATACATGGTCACGGCCAAAATTAAGAGACGCCAGACTGCCCAAAAAAGCTTGAGAGGGAGAGCTTTAGTTGCATCTTCGAACACCAGCTTCGGGCCAATTGCGTAATTCCTACGCAAATGCATGTGGATTACGTAGCTATTTAAACAGCGATAAATGCAATGCAAGTGAAAGTCACTAGCTAAAATTTTCTCCGTATTTCTGTCTTGAAATTTGAATTATTTATCGGGCGCTGTGTTCCAAATTCATGGTCAAATGCCATTCGAGGTGGTGCGTTAGGAGGTATCAGTATTAAAACGCTGAACGGTATCCGGCAGACGATTTGAGACAACGATGGCATACTGATTTCTTTGGATGGCAATGGTGACCATTAAACGTAGGCTTATTTTTTGTATAATTACGTACATTCCAGAGAAAACTTATAGCCGTCTGCATCCGTCTCCAGGGAGACGAATTTGAAAGACGGACCATGATGGGACGTACCATGTCAAGGACATCACGTAAAAGCGTGCCTAAAAGTCGCAGACAGAGAAATTTACTCCAAGTTAAGTCAGTTTCAAGTCAGTTTATTAAGGGAATGAGGCTTTCGCCCTTGAGCACCCTATTCATGTCGATAAACAGAAATAAAGTCATCAATTACATCAGCAAATGCGAAACGTTAAGAAGTTAGCGGTAACTGTGAGCCAGGCGCAAACTGCCGCCGCTAAAACAATCATGATTGTATGTACAGTATGTTCTCAACAAGTGAGCCTCTAGTCTGCACTTAAAGGATTTAACACTTTCGGAAAGAACGACGGCATCAGGGAGTCCATTCCATGCCCCGATGACCCTGTGTGAGAAGGCGTTCCGTCGGACGTCCGAATGAGCCCGCTTCCTTTGCAGTTTGAACGGATGACCACGCAGACGGTCAGTCCGGGCCAATTCAAAGAAGTCATCAAAATCTAGGGCACACTCACGGCTTCTGACAATCCTGTAGGTTTGAATGAGATCGCCGCGCAGTTGCCTGTAATTTAGAGGAAACAGATTTAGTTCAGTCAGCCTGGTTTCGTAAGGCAAATGATGAAGATTCTTGACCATCTTCATAGCCATCGCCTGTACTCTTTCCAGTCGTTGATAATCTTTCTTTAACCACGGTCGCCAGGCCTGGACTGCATACTCTAAGTGAGACCGGACGAATGCCCCATAGGTTTTTCCGAACAGCTCCTTGTCGATCTGCACAAATCCTCGCCTCAGCGCAAATAACACCCTTATCGCACTTTTGTGAGGAAATCTAAAATCTGCAGTTTCACAGTTTCATTGATACTAATGGTTTAAGATTTAAGAGGCAGGAACTAGATTTAAGATGAATAGGCGTTGGACTAGTGGTTGCCTATCTCAAGATCCAGTTAATTCTTAGTATCGAAGTTAAGCGTTGTAAAATTTATAACAAACTTGTAGTAATGAGGCAAATAGGCGGTCGGCAAGCAGATAGAGGCGGGAAGGCCAACGCCGCCGAAGCAGAATACATGAGATAGTAGATGGGCAGATAAAAAGTATAGAAGATTACGGAAGACAAAACTAGGCGGCCAAGTTCGTAAGCAACTAGTCTATGTCAAAAATGCGCAAGACGAACACAACAATTCCAATGACATACTTATGCGTGCGCCCCAACTTTGAGAGACTTGTGGAGTTTTTTATTTTAAGTGAATTCCTTAGTCGCTAACAGAAATTGTCAACCGGATCTTCGATGAAAATTTTCAATTTAATCAATAAACCGCATGAAATTACGAGTGCGCTGGTCATTTTGTCACCTGGTAGAAATAAAATATAGCTTAATATTTTAGCCTGCGTTGCCTCTTTCTCGTTAGAGCATACTCCCTTAAATAAAAAGATTTCCCATTTTGAGTTTTCCAAATCCCTATATTTTTAATGGCAGATCTTCCACATTGACCACTGCTCTTGTCGGCTCATCGAAAATTCTTTTTTAGAATATGGCCATCAATCTAGTACTGGCCAACTGTACTCTGTAGTTCCGACAGATTTGATTCCATCTTACTCTTAACCTGCTTACACTGGACATGATTCAAGGGAAATCTGTCAATTTGTAATATCTCTAATAGCGGCAATCGCTCAAAAACGATCCTAGTTTTATCAGGAGGCTTAATCTTAGCAACGACGATTCGCAAACCAGAGAGTCGAAGTCGACATTCGAGGCACAGAATATGGGCTTAGTGTAAAAAATTGGATCACGTTTATCTTGTTCCCATGCCAGGCTAAAAAACACATGACAGCAGTACAGTCGAATAAAGTAGATAATATTCCGGAAAAAATCGTTGTTTGTTCCTAACCTAAGTTCTCAGATCAAGAAAGACATTGCGGTTAGGGAGCCTGCTAACGCATGAGCGCTAAGGATACATGGGAACAATGTGGTTAACGATTTTCCCTACCCGACAGCTTGCAGATCACCTAGATAATCAAGCCTACTCATAATATAAACAGTCTTTCAAAACCTTTCAGTCCATTTTCAAATATTTGTGTCGTCTCATATTATGCTCATCCCTCTTAAAATCATATTCTTGTGCCTTCTATTTTTTTATATCTCGCGAAATAACATTCTTCCTCATAGAACTTTCTCAGTAAATGGCAACATCTCAACAAATTTTAGACTACGGAAATTTCGTTTTTATCCTCTGCCTTCCTGCTTACGGTTCAATTTTCACTTTTATAAGTAGTAATTAACGTAACCCGCACCTCAGGAATACGCCCAGTGCCGTCTCTCTCAACACGAGATCAGTCGTACAAATTATAGGCCAGCTGAGGACGGTGGCCGTCAAGGTTAACCCAGATGTTTTGTGTAAAACAGAATCCTGGACTCATTCTCCAGTTTCCGACTCGCACTCGATGTAGATACTTTTCATTTATACCGACAAAACCGCGTTCGGGAACTTGGCGGCGATTGTCTTCTTTATACAAGAGGCTCAATTGTACATTTGCCCTATGATTTCCACCCAAGGATCAAGCATGCTTGACCTAATTTTCCGTAGAGTCGGCATGCCTTCGTCCATGTCACCCCCAGGCCCACTAAGGGACTCAGACCATGACATAGTTGTTTCAACGTCGAAACTCGAGGCTGACAAAACGTTGTCCCCAAAGCACAGATTTTTCCGCGATTTCCGATCAACTCGTTCAACCGAATTATTTACACACCTTAATTTCTACGACTAGAATGATTCCTTCTTTAATTCGGATGTAAATGTTTGCACTTTAAAAGCGTACTAAATTTTGGATCCGCTTATTTCTCGTTTTGTCCCCCGTAAGAAAATAATTAATGTTGGGGATGAGGTTTCCCTACCCTTACCCTTTCATCGAAGGTTGCGCTGACTTTCTCGTGGATTCCATCTTCAGAACAATTTTTCTGCTCTGCCCCTGATTTGTGATATCTTTGAATGGGCTAAGAGATTGTCTGAAGAAGAACAACTAGCCGAAAAGATCCAGTTTACTAAAAACCGTTCGTTAAATGTCTCGAAACTTTTCTTCGAAAAGCACGAACTCACAGAAGGACGTAGAATCAAAACCTTCGTGGCCCTCTCGGAAATCCTATAGTTGATGTCCATTTAACCGCTAATAGCTTCACTGATTTTCTGTCCAAAACGTTTATCGAATACTCGACCACTCCACTTCCGACCATCCAGGCATTAAGCAGAGCAGTTCTCGAAACTATAACTTTCACTCTGTGGGATATGACTGTTGCGATTCGGCGTTTTTGTCAATCTCATAGCCCAGGACCTGATGGTGCAGCGGTAAGCATTTTAAAAGCCAACGCTAATACGATTTTCCCATCCCTCTTATGCAAGATATTTAATCTCGCTCTTGAAAGTGAAACCTATTCGACCTTGTGGAAGGAATCACACATTTTGCCCATTCCGAAGCATAGTCAATCTACGTCATTTGACGACTTTCGGCCAATAAAAACCCTCCGCGCAGTGTCGAAAATCTGAGAGACATTGTTGAAAAATAGGATGATGTGTCAATTAACGGAGAATAACCTAATGTCTATTGCTCAGCATCGATTCATCAAAGCTCGATATTCTGACACCTGTCAGGTCTCTTTCTTGGACTATGTTCTCCAATCTAGTGGCAATGGTTTTGCATTTACACAGTCTATTTTATGGGCAGCAGTTGTTTTTCTCCTGAACTATCCAAAATATAAAATACTTCCGTCAGCATTACCTTCATTTTTGTGTCAGGAGTTTTTTTCACTGCTGGCCGGATTTGTGTTTAACGCTTCCCTGACAATGCCTGTAAAGCGGCATTAACTAAATTATTATTATTATTATTATTATTATTATTATTATTATTATTATCACCAAACGTTTCCTCCTTCTCTGCAAATATCCGTTTCGGTATTAGTAATTCTCCCGAAAATGTGAACGCTTTACTTTGATGTGCATTTGTATGTATTCAGTGTATTTGGGGGAAATCGGCTTACGCCTTTGGACTCCCTATTAATAAATAAATATATGAAAAAAAATCGGCTGCAACAAGTAAATGCAGACATCGATCTACATAGAGCACTGATTTTTTATGGCTACAAAGTCATATAGTGCGCTTGTTGGTGCAGCATATGTCTGTCAAGCCGATATTTAAATGTCTCCACATATTGAGACATTACAATTGCCTCAGGCAAGTTATTCCACGGTTTCACGAAACAGCTGGAGGAAAATACTTTCTCACATCCAATCTTCTTTAGGAATACGTAGTTTGAAGGGATGTCCCCGGAGGTTATTTGTAGTGGTAAGTTGGAAGGAGTCGTCACATCGGAGAGCACAGTTCAAGTCACGCACGGTACGGAAAGTTTGTATCAAGTCTCCGCGTAACCGCCTACAATTCAGAGTATACATATTAAAATAAGTCAGGCAGATCTCGTAAGGAAGTGTACCTTGACCTTTTACTAATTTTGTATGCACTTCTCTGCACCCTTTGAAGTAAAGTACAATCCGTCTGCGTCTATGGTCTCCAAGCCCGGATTGCATATTCAAGTAACGGCCTAACAAACGTGCAAAAGACTTTGGAGAAGCATTATTCATAGAAGACTGTGACTGCCCGTCTGATGGCGTACAACATTTTAGTCGCGGATTTTGGCTGCCTTGCGACATCGCGTAGAAGGCTTTCGAATGTCTGTAATACAGATTCCAAGATCATTCTCAGTTACCGTTTCCCGGAGCGACATCCCATTAAGATAACATTGCAGCGTATTATGGATCTGGTTGAGATTGCCGAGACGCAGTATGATGCATTTGTTCAAACTGAGGGAAAGAAGCCATCTGCGGGACCACTCGTCCATTCGACAAGGATTTTCCTGGAAGTTGGTCTCGTTGGCAGCATCGTGGATGACTTTCCAAATTTTAATATCATCTACGAACATGGGACAATCGTAGTCCAAGTCCTCTACTTAATCATTAATAAATAAGAGAAAGAGGGTCGGTCCGAGCATTGAGCCTCGTGGGATTCCACTCTTTATGACTGTGCACCTTGATTACTGTTGCTCCATGCAGACAATTTAGGAGCGCCTGCCGCGGAAATTTTCTATCCATTTAAGTTTGCCGCCGATTCCCATCGCTATCAATTTGCAAAGCAGACACTGGTGCGGAACACTATCGAACGCCTTCCGGCAATCGATGCACAGTGTATTTTGCATCCAGTGCTCTTGTCCAGCTTTGCATTGTGTATAGGAAGTTTTTTACACACGATCTTCCCCTACGGAAGATCGGACAAAAGTTTGTGAGTTTCTAAATAAGTCATCAGCTCCGTTCTGATTATCTTCTCCATGACTTTGCAACAGACTGATGCCAGACTGAGGGGTCTGTAGTTCGTCGCAAGAGCACGACTACCGCTCGCTCTTAAAAGTAAAACCTATCCTATTTTGTGGAAGAAATCACACATTTTCCTATTCCCAAGCATGGTCAATCTACGTCATTTGATGACTTCCAGTCATTAAACGCCCTTCGCGCAGTTTCGAAAATCGTAGAGACATTACTCAAAGATAAGATAATATATCACTTAACAGAGAACGTTGCACAGCATGGATTACTCTCAAT